GAAATAAAGGAGCACTCCAACTTTTCCCTAATCTGTTACTGTTTTTATTAAGACATGGTGCTGGGCCCAATTGTCTTTAACATCCTGGCAAGGAAAGAAATAGATTTTCTAACTCATAGCCAGTAATCAGTTGAACAATTTGAAAGTCGTTATTATGAATTTGAAATAGTAATTATGAGGCAGAGTTCTCATTTTTGTACAGAGCATGGTATACTTGAAGCCTGTTTTAAAAAAGGTGTTCTTTCCAGCCCTATCCTCTTTTCATTCAGAAGTTTCGTTACTCAACTAGGCTTACTCTCACTTGTGTTGGGAAAAACTGATTTGCATTTTGAATACCTCAGTAATTAAATGCAAGTTTGAATGTTTTCAGATTCAGAAGATTTGGATTCCTTTGAAGAGACTGACGGCAGTCTCTTCAAAAGTAGTTTGTGCATTTCAACATGTAGAGTAACTTTACGAAAAGTCTATTAGAAATCTTAGGATAAATATCCCTTAATTTCTAGTTTATTTTTTTCAAAGATTGCATCAGAGATTGAAAAAGTCAACAACCAGTGGCATAAACAGGAGCCTACATTTCTTATTTTGCAGTATTTGTGTACATATTTTAATTTAGTAATTATTGTTTGGGGGGATTATACTTGATCATTTCCATGTTCGATCAGGTTTTTAAACCAATTTCATTAGGTCCTAAGTGGCTCTGTGCAAATGTAAGAGAATAGAGATCAGCTCTGAATGGTAAAGAAGGTTGTCTTTCTTTGTGTTATTAATACCAAAGCTATTAAGTCAGAAAGGGGTTCAGCTGAAATTTCCTAGAATGTCCTGGCTCTGGCCAGTGACAACAATCTCAAAGTTAAGTGTGTCATTTGTTTCAGTCCTACTTACCAAACATTTCCCCCCAGATAACTACACATATAGGGACAAAAAGCTTTGGACTGCTTACCAGATGACTAGAGAAGAAGGTAAGAATTCATAGTTCTGTAAATACGTAACTAGATGGAATCCCCATTTCTGTATTGCTGAATACAGTGCCTTGCTGAGGGTAGACTTTGGAGGTTTCTTGCAGAGCCTGAGAATGGTGCTCTCAATTTGGGAAACCTCAATCTGGACCTTGTGTCATGGGCAGAGCACTACCTGCTAAAATTCAGACTGATAGCAACTTTTTCCCAGTGCAAGGCTAGGGGACCTATTAAAGTGGTTCTTCCACAGAGACTAATGGTCTCTGGGGTGACAGTCTGAGTTGGGAATACTCTTTTGCAGTGGTTCCAATCATAGTTGGAGGGCCTCCTCCAGAAGGCAGTGCGTGGGGAATATTGCTCAACCCTGCAGATTCTCCAGCATGGAGTTCTTCAGGGATGTGTTCTGTCCCCCACGCAACAACTGCAAGGGGCCATTCTGCGCTTTGGAGAGTGCTGTCATGTGTATGCTGACGGCACACCGCTCTGCTTCTTTTGCATCTTCAGCAGGTGTGGCAAACTGGCACTGTTGCCTGGCTGCAGCAGTGGGCCAAGCAAAGGCTAACAAACTGAAGCTCAGCCAAGGCGGGACTGAGATGCTGTTAGTGGGTGGCTCCTCTGAGCAATTGAAATTGATGCAGTTGGTGTTGTCACTGCTTGATGTGCAGAAGGTAACTCAGCACTGATATTTTAATCTGAGAGCACATGGCTCAGGAACTGCGCACAGATAGATGCCATTCAGCTATTCACAGTACTGTGTGTGACTTCTGAAGGCAGTGCATTGCTCCAGGCATGTCACAGTGTAGCTGATAAATACACAACCAGTAAGTGCTCGTTTCTTTTGTTTGCTGAATGTTTGTGCCACAGTCAAGATATTTTGCAGCTTCACTGTGCGAAGTATCTTGACTGCATCAAGTAGTAACAATGTCAATTAAATCTATTTCAGTTCTAGACTGTCACACAATAAAAGGTGAAAGACTCAAAGAAGTGTGAATAGTTCTGCAAAGCATGCTATATTTATATGCATTTCCTCAAATTTTCATTTATTATAATAGAATGTGTGCCCTACAGAATGTGTGCTCTTTAACTTGTGGTTGGCTGTATTAAGCACTTGTGGTTGTACAGAATTACTTAGTTATTGAGAATTAGAAGTATCTAATTCATATCTTAACTTCAAGTTACTTTGATATTAAATGAAAGAAAGATTAAAGGATTTGAGTGATAAAATTACCCTTGTACCATGTTCCATAGACTTATTTTGCTTATCCTTACAAATATACTGTAAAATAATTATATCAACCATCTTAGCTGGCAACTTGATGGAAAATCCTCAAATCTTTATTTACAGACATGTGACACTTTTGTAAATCTCAAATTATTAAAATTCTGTGTCACCTTAAGTTTACAGTTCAAGGTATATATTCTTCCCTTCTGAAGTAAATATTTTTTATGAAAGTTAGATACATACAAGGGCATCAGTATAAAACTACTATCCCATCTTTTACCTAAACTGAAACAAGCCGCACAGGTTATATCTGGAATGAATCATAATTTGATAGGATTTATTTTATTGACAGGTGATGAGAATTACATTTTTGACTTGGTGGATTTCAAAAAGAAAGTTAAAATGAGTCTTCAGTCAACTCTGAAAAATGTAAGAATAAGCAATGAAAATGCCTGTATTTCTCTAAGGATTTTACTTATTTTCCTACCATATTACAGTGATGTGAATATAAAGTGATTTGAAATGCCAAGAGTAAAAAATTCTGTCTTCTGCCCAATTTAGTAATGATCTTCCTCTTCTGAACTGCATTTGGGGTGGGGGGCAAAGGAAACTTGTAAAAAGACATGCAGTCCTCATATTGGGGAAGGCTTCATGCTCTCACAAGCTGCAGAAGTAGTGTTTTGCAGTCTTTGTAATGCATTTCTAGGAAATAGCCATGTCTTTCCTCAGAGTCTTTTAAGTATGGAGTCCTTGTTGCTTTGGAGGTCTAACTGTACCAGCTGCACTGTAATGTAAACTTTTCAGGTAACGGTCAGCTTTAAAGAATATGAAGACAATGCAGTATGGATTCGAATTGCCTGGGGAACCCAGTACACAAAACCAAACCAATACAAGCCCACCTATGTTGTCTACCACTCACAGACGCCTTATGTTTTTATATCCAAATCTAAGAACAGGAGCTGCTTACCACTGCTTTTTCAGGTAAATCCACCTGCCCTTTTAAAGATGAATGTTCTGTCATCTTGAAGCTAATTCAGTTAGCATCAAGTATGAATGAATGATCAACAGCAGAAGTTCATTTCTTCGATCTGCAGAATTATTTGATCTTAAGAATTTAAATATCTTAAATGTGAAATTACTATTGCATTTCAACGTCATTTAAAAATTGCTTCCATTTTCATTTCAAGGCCCTGTTGATTGCAGCCAGTTACAATGACATCCATGAGACAGACCTCCGAAGCCATCACTTAGATTCCCTCAAAGATATTTTACTTAAGCGCCGCAGCCAGGTGAGGGCTACTTCACTACTCCGTTTTAAGACAAATCTTGGGGGGGTTTGTTTTAGGCCTGGCTCTAAACTTCCCATCAGGTGGAGAGATCTTTTGAGAGATCATCAGTACTACCAAACTTTCAGTAAAGTAAACTTAACACTGGGCAGAATTAGTTTCTCACTAGATGCCTCCCTGTAGGAACATCACTTTATTCCTGGCAAGACTGAGAACAAAGACAATAGAGAGGGTGCATATAGGGATATTGAAGGCAGGGGTAGCCAAGCCCTTTGTGCTGTACACAAACTGGAATTCCACAAGTTGGAATAACCGGAACTGGAATGCAAAGGGAGGTGTATGTAATCAATACATACTCCTGTGACTAGTCAATGTAGCTTCCTGTTGCTCTTAAAGAAAGGAGGATATGTTTTCAAATATTTCCTAAAATAACCTTAGGGGTACTGGAAATGTTTGTTTCTAGCAGTCACTCGTTACAGATAAAAATACAAAGTTAATGTACTGATGTTCTTTTTTCCTCCCTTCTTTCCCAGAACTTTCAAACTCGTGACCCACAACCTCTAAAAGAAAAGAACAGCGCTCTGGAAAATGGTATCTATAACTAGCATGCTATATATAACTTTAAATCAAAATAGTTTGTTTAATTATTAAGGTCATCGCAGAAGATAAATAGACCTCACTCATTTCACAGTTGTCTTAACTGGCCTGTTTAAAGCCTCTGTATCTGCATACAGCACGAGACATGCTTCAAGCAACACCTAATAGGTTTGCTTTACTTGTGTTGGAAGTTAGGCTTCCCCCTTTGCACTTTCAGAACTGCAGACCGTTTTTGGCGAAAGCTCTTCACTTTCCAGTGTACATCCAGTAATGGATCACCAGCAAAAAGGCTCTGAGCATGCACCCAAACCAGAAACTACTTCCAAGAACCCTCCTTTTGATTAACCTTGGACCCCTTCCCTCTGGGAGGGCTACATGCTGCCCCTCAGGTTGGCTAGCCCTTCTCACCTGACACTGCACCATGGGGTCAAGGGTGGTACCTGGCTCCTGGGGCTCCTTCCCATGCCCCCTCCCAGCAGTTGCAGGCTCTGGCTATTCTCAGGGTCCACCTGAACACCTGGAAAAGGTGGCCTCTAGACAAGCCCTTCCACCTCTTCCATCTCAATATCTGGAGGTGCTCATTCCTAGGGGCCATCCTCCACCTGAAGAGTGAGGCTTGCTGGCCCTGAAATGCACACCAAGAACAACTGCCTCTTTCTTTCCCAACAACCAGCTTCTATCTCACAGCTGAAAGCTAATGCAGCAGGACCCCCATGTCCACACGGATCGGTTCCAAGCCCCCCAGGGGATGTCTGAAACTGCTGATAATAGCGAACACTATATTATACTTACTATATGCATTTCTTTTTCACAATTTTGTTCATTCTTGCCTCAGCATATGAGTTTTTCTGTCCCTATTAAATCAAGAATTTTTACTTACAGGAAGTACTTTATAACATCTCTTTGGCACTTTACATCACTTTATGACTTTACTTTCAGGCCAGGGTCAACAATGGTTAACTGAAAATGTGGTAACTGTGCCAGAAGATATAGGGGTCCTGCTGTAGTTTTCTCTGTTCTAATATGATTATTCAGTAAAAGGATTGGAAGGCTACAGTGAAACTCAGAATTCAACATATGTTAAAAACACTGGGATGAGCATGATGTTTATCTCTGTGTTTTACCATGGCCCCTGTGTCTTTGGAAGTCTCATTTCTGAATGTCACTTTGAAAAACTAAAACATTTAATATGTTACGTGGTTTCACATGGTTCTGTATTTTGAAGTAGATCCAAGGATAATTCAGGAAGATAAACATAAAAAGGAAAGAATTCAGCAAATTAATTCAGAAGCCTTTGGTGATGGTTCTCAACCAAAATTGGAGTTTGCACAGTACAAGGTAAACTTTAGATTTATAACATGGTAGAATAAAAGATATACATATAGTCTTGAAAATGTATTCATTGTGATTTTTCTAGGGCTGCAACATTTGGTCAATTACTTAAGTTATAAACACTACACCAACTGAAAAGGAACCTCCCCTCATATGAATTAAAAAACATGCTGGGTGTAGTCCTACTAATTGTGCTCTTGGTGATCAGCATCCCCCAGACTCAAAATTGCCTGATTATCCATTGCGGGAGGGCAGGGGCAGCAGCAGCATTCGCCTCTCCTTGCTGCAGATTTTGTTAGGCGTTTCAGTCCATCTAGCAAGGGCACTTTGATGGAAGGAGGAGGGAGGCCGAGGACAAATCGTATCCTGGCCTCTCTAGTTTCTTTCTGCCCCACCCAGTGGCACGCTCCCTTCTGCTCTGGAGGCCACTTTTCCTTTCCAAATGTGGAAGTAGCTGGCCCAGTGGGAGGGGTGAGTCTCTGACTCTCCGTTCCAAGACTAGCACTGTGTCCAGCCTCAGAAGAGGGATTCTAAACAATCCTGCTCCTCCTGGGGATGCTTATGCAGGAGTCATAGGGCTGTTCTCAGTTCTTTCACGAGAATTTACATGAGCCAGATAACAAGCACCATCTTAGAAAATATATTCTCCATTCTCTCTGAAATAGGAAAAATGTCTTTTTGTTTCATTTTTATTGTATTTCTGCCCTGCCTTTTTCCTGTAAGGAACCGTGGCAGCTTACGCAATGCTCTTCCATTTCTCCATTTTATTCTCACCCTGATAAGAAAGTTAGGCTGAGAGCTGGTGACTGGTCCAAAGCCAGCCAATGAGTTCATGACTGAGTAGGAACTGGAACCTGGATCTCCCAAATTTTAATTCAGGACTCCAACCTCTATACCACACTGTCTAAGATCATGCTGGCTCCAAAATGTTTGAAAAGGAATACGGATATATTTTTATCCATATGCAAGTAGTAGTTCAGCCAATGAATAATGCAACCTCCCACATGTTTACTCAGAACTTAGTCCTTCTGTGTTAAGTGTGACTTGCTGCAACGTAAGTATACATTAGATTTTCGCTTACAACTCATATGTATGACTAAGCGTACAATCATGGGCATGTTTAGACAGAAAGTCATACAAGTTCTGGCATCCCTGGAGCAGCCATGCCAGTTTCTTTAGTTGACTCAGCCCTATATTTGTCAATGTGTAGTTCTCATTGTGCTTGTGAAGGAATATTTATTTGCTTCTCAGTGTTGCATGAGTTGCTCATAATTACACATTTTTTCAATATTCTTGGGATTCAGTTTCCAACCCCAGGCACATTTCTTCCATTTTTTAATTAAAGGAAGTATTCCCACACATACAATTGGAATTTTTGACTGCATACAGTTCATTTGTCTGCATATGGAATGATGAAATTCCATACATATTACAAATGTTGAACCATGGTCATGGAATTTAAAGTCTCAATCAAAAAACTACAATCAAAAAACAATGATGGTCTAGGGCTGAAGTCATTCCTATACTTAAAACCCTCACTGTAACTGTAACAATAATGAAAAGGTAAATTAGACTATGAAATTAGTTACAAAAACAGTGGCTTCAGCAGCTCTTTTTCCCCTTGCGAATGAGCAGACATTAGTCCTAATTGCCCATCTACCACAGGGGGCACCCCTTGCCTTTCTTGGGTATGCATTTTTTGGTACTCGTCTTTTATATAATGGCAGTAATGACATTTAGAAAGTATGAATGAAGCATTAATAATATCGAAATGACATGTTTCTTTTAAACTCTATTGTATAGATTACTTTTGTTGTGTCAAAAATAGAGGCAAATATTGTTTCAGCATCCCATTCAAACGTTATTTTAATTGTTAATATTATTTATTTATTTTATTCTTTGGCCAGGGTGACTTAATTTATACTGTTAAATAAATAACATAATATAAAACAATATAATTTATGATTGTGAGCCGCCCTGAGGCTTTGGCGAATGGGGCGGTGTAGAAGTTCCCTAAATAAATAAACAAACAAACAAACAAATTCTTATCTATGTATGTGCATGCAGACCACTATGACCACCACCAAAGTTCCCTAAATTAATTAATTAATTAATTAATTCTTATCTATGTATGTGCATGCAGACCACTATGACCACCACCAACATAAAATCTAGCCAAAATACCAGACATGCATTCTCCCTCCCTCCCTCCTTTAGGGACAGCAAACTTCGTCATTTTCAACTTCAGCCATGCCTTACTTGAGCATCTATTAATGTTTTGCCTGATCTGAAATGAATTATTTTACTAGCAAATGACTGTTGATATATAGAGATTATTATATAGTGAAAAACCAGGTGTTTTGAAAAGAGGCTGTAAATTTTGGGGAAGCTGACAAGGGTTATTTACATATTTGAAAATAAAGAATATGCTTTAAAGGACTTTTGAAAAGAGGGTGTGGCAGAAAGTATCTCATGAATTCCTAAAACAAAGAATCAGTCAGCACATTTAATAATCCCATATGCAGAGTATAGCAATGCCTTCTCCAAAAATCCAAAGATCAGTCATTTTAGGTCTTATACCTGTAAAAATGATTTGCTTTTATACTGTGGGAAACATTTGACTAGCGTGAATTGTTTTGGCTTACAGCTTGAAACAACGTTGAAAAGTGAACAAGAAAAAGTACTCTTGAATACAGAGCCATTTAGATGTATGATCAAGTTTTCTAGTCCTCATCTTTTGGAAGCGCTGAAGTCCCTAGCGCCTGCTGGTAAGTGTTCCTTTGGTGGCCAAGCCAAAGCGCAAGCACGTAAGCAATTCATGTATTGTGGTATATTCTGTAAATGTATCTCTGGGAAGCTGCTTGTAAAAGCAAAGGTTCCCTGTTCAACGGCAATCATTTTAACAGCTCCACTGCAAAAACTCTTTATAAACTCCCTGGTCGAATCTAGCATTAGTTGTGTGTAAAAGTTGACTGGTTGAAATCTATGGAATATAAATTTGTCAGAACGTATCTGTCCCGTTAATTTCAAAGTATGCCCATCTGAATCCAACTCATCTTTTATAAAGAGTTCCAGCAACAGCTGCTAATCAGGCTACAGCATAGACTTTTTTGCATTGGTCAGCACCAATTTTTGCTCCAAGTGTCAAACTTTGAACTGAGCAATACTGATTCCGTTTCTTATTTAATACTGGGATAAGCCAAGATGCACGTAAAGGATTCCTAATTCACTGATTGGGGAGCTCCCCTTTGGGCACTTCAGCTACTTGCTACCACTCAAGGGCCCATTCCCAGCGTCTTGCACGAGAGGGAGCAGCTGAATGGAGAATTCTTTCAGGGCATGTTGCTTGTCATATGAGACAGTGTTAAAGAATCTTGTGTCAATACTTGCAGAAATATTGGGTCCTCTGAGCAGGAAAGACCACAGGCTGTTTTAGGAGGGGCAGATGAGGTGCCTTCTGGGGCTGAATGTGATTTATGGGCCTCTAGTACTTTCATGTGGTAATCTTGCTTTGATGGAAATCATGTACAGCTCTTGTCTAGCCAGTTTGAAAAGGATACTAATACTCAGCTGCAGAGCCAGAAAAAAAAATGTTGACTTCAGAGGTCTAGAGCTTCTTGTAGAAACATAATGGTAGTAGCTCAGAATAAAATGCATATATATGTACTAGAAGAATAGCAGTGGTGGTATGCAGGAGCAAAAATTACAATTTTGCAACATGTAACAGACAAGTGTCACCAAACATTTGATTTAATCTTTGGTTATACCACTGGTCTAAAAAGACTATACAGAAATAATATAGAGAATTTATTCTAATTGTCTTTTCTCCTACTTTTAGGGATGGCAGATGCTCCCCTTTCACCATTACTTACCTGTATCACTCAAAAAGCTAGGAACTATTTCAAAATCAAAGAAAGAAAAGGTGTACTTTCACAGAACCTTGCAGGCCAATGACTTTTTCTTAATAGACTGAAGAACAAATAGCTATATATATCTCCCAATAGCTTAACTGTTTTATTCTGCTAAAGAAAAACTACATGGAATCTACTCTTCTAAGCTTCCCACAGTTGTCAAATTAGCATCCCGGCATGTGTGACACATTGACAAGACTACGGCTCTGCTTCCTATACAGTGACTAGCTATCTCGTCCTTGTTGCTCATCCATAACAGCAGCACTTCTCTGTGCCAAGCCATATGATGAAGCTTTCCAAAACTAAGTGTACAATACCTTGGCCTCCTTCGGAGTTGGCGGCCAGACCGCAACATCTGAGCCCTTGCTGCACGCCCCTTGCAGGAAGAATCCCTCTGGCTGCCTTTGCATCAGGCCGCAGTGTACATTGCGAAGGGAGAAAAGGATGGGCCTGGACATGTAGAAGAGGCTGGGCCTACCTACGTATGAGGTTCCCCAGCCGCCTTTCCTTACCCTCCCTGGTATTTCATCTAAAAACTGGGAATGGCCATCCAGATAAAGCGTGCAGGCGCATGGGGGCAGCAGAGCTTGCTGCTGCCAGGCCGCTCTCAGCTCACTGAATGCCTCCATGACTCGGGAGGCTTATGTGTATCTAGGCTGCAAGAGAGAGGCAGAGGCAGCAGGACTAAGCCTGAAGTCACCAAGATCGTCTTCAGGGTGTTTGACAGATGGTTTCACTAGAATCCTCAGAATCTTAAAATGGTATTAAATAAACTTGACGGCCACAATGTTCAATTGATTTTAAACGTTTTAGCTAATTGCTATTAACTTACATTGCTAACCAATGTAAGTTAAAGCTGAGGCTCGCTGACAAAATAAAGCTGATAATTGTCTATTTTTTCACATGCGTAAATAACAAAGAAATTACAATTTAATACCCATTTCCCTGATTGAGCACACTGCAAAAGTATGAACATGTACTTGGCACCACTACCGTGACTCTGTATGTTTTAAAGCAGAAGTGTGTGTGTATCTTTGGTAAAACAGAATCTGTTTTCCAAAGAAGGCTGGAAGAAAACATACTTTGGAGAATGAAAAATTTACTTGTATTTAACAGCATGCCTAGTAACTATAGGCAACGAGGAATTTCATTCAGATAAATAAGCATACTGGTGGAAGATGGATAGCCCTCTTCCCCCAGGTTTCTGTGCAGGCTACAGAGAAATATCCCTCCTCTGCCACCCAACCTCATAAAGTTTTGCTGTTTTTACTTAGTCTCCTTGGAGGATGATAGCATACATTTTCATGCTGCCCCTAGAGGAGGCTTTACCTCCATCACAGGCAGCATTGAAATTCAGTTTGTAAAAAAGTGTAAGGTAAATAAATTTACAGAATTATTTATCTTAAATGCAGGGAAACTGGCACTTTACATTTAAAAGGAAAATGCTGACACCAACTATTCCATAATTGAATAATCTGTTAATGTAATCTTATTTTAGATTTGTTCTTTTTGTTCTTGTACACATTCCTCAGATGAATTATATGTAAGTTAACATGAAATGAATCAAATACATTTTCTTTCCAGTTGTAGTCCCATTTGATCAGTGTATCAAATGACACTGACCAAGCAGGCTGCAGAAAGTTGGAGCAGGCAGTTAAGCTTAGATGTTTTACCTGCATTGATGTTTTTAACTAGTTTTTTAATGTAAAAATGTGTATTTAAAATTTTATTGAATTATTATTTTAAGTCCATGACATAAAATCAAATGGGTAGTTATCCTTTGCAGTGGGGATTTTTCATGGATGACTTTGGCACTATATTGCTGGAAAGAAAGCAAGCTTCAAATAGTTTGCTTGACTTGTGTAGCTTACATCTGTAAATACAAATAAATATTTGATAACTAATTATTGTGATTCATTTCATTTTTATCCTGCCCTTCCAAGAAACTCAGGACAGCATACAGGATTCTCCCTACTTCCCCCCTTCAGCCGAATCTATCCTCACCGTATAACACAGGTTATGCTGACCTATCCCAAGGGCACCTGAGTTTTGTAGTGCAATCCTATGTATGTCTACTTAACAGTTAAGCCCCACTGAGTTCACTAGGAATTAATACCTGGTAAACATTACAGGATTGCAGCCTAGCCAGAAAAATGTGGGTGCGACTCTCAGCATCCCTCCAGCCAGCTGACATGGGGGGAGGGGGGGCAGCTGGAATTCTAGAGCGTTCTCTAAACATGCATTGGATTGCACCCTGTGTTGCACAAGTATGAGCCTAATAAAATATGAGCGCCTTCTGGCACCACAAAAATGAACATGTATTATGGCATAGATTTCTGTGGGTCAGAGATACATGACATGTATCTTTTATTGACAAGCGTATGTGGGTGTTGTGGGGGAAACTAAAGTCAGGTGGAAATTAATTACCATTTAAAGTGCCATAACACTTCCTTCTCTTTGCTGTGAGTTCTATCCTCTGGAAATGGGATATAACAAAATATGGTACTGTTAAGGAAATAAACTGCCAGTAAACTAGCTCTTGTGTGCATGTGAACACAAAACACCACCTTGAGTCCCGTTAGAATCAGATTTATGGAGATCTGGCTCCAAGTCATGTCAACGTAGCCTTATTTTGCTGGTCTGATTTTATTCCTATCCTGGTTTTTTGTGTACTCATATCCCACTTTTGTGCCAAAACATGGCATACAAAGTGGCTAAATCCAGATAAAAATATTAAAACATAAAGCTGTATGACCAAGTGAGGTTTTCTTACCTGTAAAATGGCATTACTGAAATATCTCAGGATAACTGTATAAACAAATTCCAAATTATAGCGGGCACTTAGTAATACACTAATTTTTTTGGAACAGATGAGACATTTCATTTAGGACAGGATATAATTGTCTTAAATAAAATTTGGAAAGTTTACAACTCTGTGAGTACTTCATCATAAACCTGTAATTTAGGCCACTATTAGTCCTACTTCACAGAGGGAAAAACCTGAAAATGCGACCTTGTCCATATTCCCAACCCTGGACAACATAAATTAAATATGTATGCATGAAAAGGAATGTTAATTGCAAGGGAAAAATTGGATGGCACCTTTGCAACTAGCGGAGAAAGTGCTCTTTTACACAACTGAGAGCCAGAGTGATGCAGTGGTGAAGAGCATGAGGCTGGGCCTCCAGCAACCTGGGTTCAAGTCCCCACCTGGCCACGGAGCCCCCTGGGTGCCTTTCGGCCAGTCACTGATCCTCAGCCCAGCCTACCTCACAGGGTTGTTGTGTGAATAAGATCTGAGACGAGGATAATGATGTAAACCACCTTGAGGTTTTTTTTTCTTTTTCAAGTCGAGATATAAATCAAACTGCACAAACTCCATGATGGGAAGAAAGCGGATGGGGAGGAAGTTCCCCCCATACCAGAGTCCGGGGACCTCCTACGAAGCTGACCGCTGAGAGACCCGGGAAACAACATGGAGGGCCTCACGCGAGGCTAGTTAGCCGTGGCACGGCGGCTGCCTTTGGGCCGCCCTTCCAGGGATCGGACACACTGCACACGCCCCCGGGGTCCGAAGCGGGCTAACAGCGGCTCCGGCGGGATGGGATCCCGCGCCAGGAAGCCCCGCGGCCCGATCCTCGCTGGCTCCAGGGCCGACCCGCTCCGGGGCGTCCAGACCTGGTCTCGCTCGCCTTGCCCCGGGAGAGGAAGTGATCGCCCCTTGCTCTGTGATGCAAGCGCCCCAGCTGCATTTATGTATTAGATTTATATCTCGCCTTTTCCTCTTTAGGCACTCAAAGCGGCTCACATCGGCCTCCTCCCCGCTCCCAGTCTTTCCCCGAACAACAACCCTGCAGGGCAGGCTGGGCCGAGAAGCTGCGGCGGGCCAGCGGCGCCGGCGGGCTCCGTGGCTGAGCGGGACCCCGAGCCACGCGCGCGCTCGGACGCCGCCCACGCGGCTCTTCCGGGCGCCCCGTCACGTGCCCCCGCGGCCCTCGAAGGCGACCTCCCTGCCGCCGCCAGCTTCCGCCGGAAGTGCCCCGCCGGTCGGTCTGGCAACGCCGAGAGCAACATGGCGGCTGCTGCAGCGGCGCGGGACCCCGCCGGGCGCGCCGGCCCGGGCCTGGGGGTCGGGCGCCCGCCGCGCTCGGCGCCCCGCGCTGTCCGTGAGCGCCCGGCCAGCCCGCGCGAGCTGGTGAGGCCCTCCGTGACGGAGCTTTCGCGGGCCGTGCGGAGCAACATCCTGTGCACCGTGCCCGGCTGCGGCAAAGTGCTGCCCAACCCGCCCGCGCTGAGCATGCACCTCAGCAAGGCCCACCGCGTGCAACAGGTCAGCCACCCTCGCCCGCCGCGGGTTGTCCCGGACAGCGCCGGCCGGCCGGCCGGCCTTCCCCCGCCAGCTGCTCGGCGGGCGTCCCATCCCCGCCGGGCCACGTCTCCCGCGAAGCCTTGCCGGCTCTGCAGTTCGGGGACCCCCTTCTTCCCTCGTTTGCCTTAGCGACGCTTGCGGGGACTTACCTCGGAGCCGCCCCCCTCCTGTGGCTGCTGCCGCTGCTGCTGCCGCCTAGGGCCCCTTTCCCGCTGCCCCAGCGACACCCCGCTCCTTCTGGGGACTTACTGACTTCGTCTGAACAGCCATTGGCTGCGCATCAGCAGATTTGTCAAGGTGGCACACAACTAGGATATAAGATTGAGAATATAATAATTGTTATGACACTGCCTTTGCCCTTTTCCCTGTTGCGAGGAACCCAACATAGCCTTGCATTGTTCTATTTTATTCTCGTAACAACAGCCCTGTGAGGTAGATTAGGCTGGGAGTGTTTGCCTGGCTCAAAGTCAGTCATGGCTGAGTGGAGGCTAGAACCCAGATTTCTGGGTCCCTAGACTAGTACACTAACCATTACGTTGGCATTCAATATTTTTAAAAATTAAAGGACAGCTTAAAAATTCAGCATAACATGCAATTGGTATTGCACATTAAAGGCCTTGACAAATAAGTGTGTCTGTTTACCTCATAGGGCAGTCCTCCCAGGATTTTATCTGGGCCAAGGTTAGAGGTGGTGAAGTAGCAATAGCATCCACCTTGTCAATCACAGTTCAGATATAGTGGACTAACCATTGCACACACTGTCCCTTTCATAACTTATAAAACTAGGACTGGGGGGACAGGGAAGGATGAACTTTAGTCCCTATTCAGCTGCTGGGTGTCTTCAGGACAGTCACATGTTCTGTTTGCAGAATGTTTACTCCAGGAGAGGAGAAGTTAACCCTAACCTTCCGCACTGTCTTTAATGGGAGAAGATAAAAACAAGTTAGAGAGGAGGCATTCATGTTGAAACTAGCACTCAAACAACTCTGAGGTTTTGAGAGAGTAGAAAGTACTCTCTAATTTAGGTGGTTTGGGGAACCTTGGATGGCAAATATTCAGAAACTTAGTTTATATATTTCTTGAGAAGTAGCTGTGTTAGTTCGTTGCAAAAGCAACAAAATCTTGTGACATCTTAAAAACTGATGAATTTGTTATGGCAAAAGCCATAGCATGATAGATTGGTTAGTCTTTAAGATGCTCTGAGAATCTTAGTTCTGCTTTTTGAAGAGAACTTCACATTAAAAAAGTACTACACCTGTGCATTTCACATACTGTGCCAACAAAAGCTAGCTCCCAGCACTTGTATAAATTAGACAAATAACTAAGTTCTGCAATAACCATTTTGCAAAACAGTCTGCTTCTGATGAAGAGGCAAGACACTCAAGTTTAAGTTACTAGAATCTTACTAGCTGCTCTTTTAGCCTTATGAGAAGGCATTTCTGCAGCATTTTCCATTTTCATAGCCACAGGGGCTAGAAACATTTTTCATGAATCAGTATCTGTTTTTTTTTTGTTTTGTTTTGTTTTTGCTTACAGAAGGCATATATAGGGGGCTGCCATACATGGGGTATTTATTGTATTCTTCAGATCCCTCCATCACATAAGTTTGTGAGGCTTTTTCATAATGTCGCTATTCTCCTGGGCTTCTTCTGTGTTTTCTAGCCTTTATAGCATTTTTTTTTTAAGAACAAGGAAAGTTTGGTACTAAAATTCATTCTCAACAAAGTGGAACAACAATAGCTGTAAGTCCACTATAGGGCAGCTATAACACAGTGCCACCTTGTGGTTGGTTAATAGAATATATAGAAAGGCGGAGAAATGAAAAAAACCCTGGGTAGGTGGGGAGAACCATTTAAAGAATGCATTTTTCCTCCTACAGTGAAAATGGAAGAAGGCTCAGTAAAGCAGCGAATTGAACTGCTCACGTAGAGAAACCCAGGGGATAACTTTTGCACAAGTCAGATAAGATACTGATGGTAATCTTCATTGCAAAGTTTATGTGAAGCAACAGTTCTGCTTAAAGTATCGTTAGCATCAGTCTTTACTAACTTCAAACGTGTTCTCTTTTACCTGTAAATAGCTGGTTGTATAAATAGATGTAATCTAAAAATTTAGCTTAGTGCTTACTGTAGGATACTTTTATTCAGTCAACAGCTCTGTTTGGGTGATCATATCTTGGTTTACTAAGTCAAGATATAGATTGATAGAATCTAGGGAGCCAAGAAAGCCATCAGGCCCAACCCTGTGCTGTTACAGGTCACCAGTTAACCCCATCCCTCTCAGATGACTGTCCAGTTCCACCTTGAATGTCTCTGGCATGGGAGAGCCCACAGCCTTTCTTGGCAACTTTTTCCACTGTCATATTTCTCTCACAGTTAGGAAGTGTTTCCTGCTATAAGGCCTGAGTCTGGTGTGCTGTAGTGTAAGTTTGTTCTTCGGTGTCCTACGCTCAGGGATGAGTGAGAAGGTCTTTTCCTTCCTCTCTGTGACAGCCTTTGAGGTACTTGTAGAGCACCATCATATTTGCTCTCAGTCTTCTCAAGCCTAAACATGCCCAGTTCTCTCAGCCTTGCATTGTAGAGCTTAGTTTTCAGACCCTGGATCATCTTTGTTGCCCTCCTTTGAATCCTTTCTAATTTCCCTGCATCTTTTTAAAACTTGGGTGCCAAGAACTGATCACAGTATTCTAGGTGAGGTCTGACTAGTGAAGAATACAGGGGAACTAGAGCCTCTCTTGTTCTGGAAGTGATGCTTCTGTATGAATGACTTGGGAGAAAGTTGCAGGGAGAAGTGAATGAGGGGGCAGTTTTGAACTCTGGATCAGAACAAGCCAGAATCTTAAACCAGCTTCAGACAGTTGCTTTAGCTCTAGCCTCTTCCAGACCTGGTTTGTACATATCTCAGCTTATTTATCTGCAATGATTATCCAAATCAGGCTTATGGAAGCTCAAGATCCCTTAAGTAAACTTGCAAACTGGAGTGACTTGGGATAGAATCTACCACATGGCTTGCTTCTGTTGGAATACATGTACATATATGCCCATGGTTCTGGTGTTTTACATAACAGGCCAAGCAAGGTGCTGTATAAAGTATCTTCCAGATATTCCTAAATGCGAGACCATTGTTTCTTTTTACTAATATTCTCATTCTTCAGGATGGAAAAACAAATTCTGCAATAAGGAAAGACTTGAAAACATCACGGAAATACTACTGTTGTCCCATTGAAGGTTGTCCTAGGGGACCAGAAAGGCCTTTTTCACAATTTTCTCTTGTAAGGCAGGTATGTACCTTAACCACAGTATAACAAAACAAAATTAGTGTGAATTCTTGATTTGGAACATACCATTTTTTTAAAGAACTATATATATTTCTGAATTGCAACTTGTCTGTTTAAACATATTTTTGCTTAACATCTGTAAAGGGTCCTGCATTTTTGGTGATCATTTTTTTCTTGATTAGATGCTCATTGTGGGTTCATTTTGTTGGAAAAGATCTGTCTTAGGGAACTGGAGAGTGCACAACTTCATTATGAATCTACTGTATGCCACTCCTTTAATAGAAAAGTATACTCCCATGTAGGTATCTTAGAAGAAACCCATATCCCATGAGGACAAAGGGCTTTCTAACTGAGTGGCCTATGTTAAAGTTGGCTGGCTTGTGATACAGAAGAAGAGTATTGCAGAAGTCAGTCACGGAAGACAAGCAAGGTTAGAATACTGGCCATGACAGGATAGTAGCTTAATGATACCAACTTGATTTCAAGCTGGTTCACTCCCCCAACTTCCCAAATTGCACAGAGTTAACCCCACCTTCAAGGTAGATTCTACTGCTTAAGGGCCCCTTGTTTGGAATAGCCAACACTACTTAACTGGCCTGATCTCTGAAACCTTAATTTTTCACCTCCTTTTTTTCTTTTTGGATTAAGGGTGCTTGGTTCCTCCCCACCCATATCAGCTTGCTTATTTGCAGATGCCAGACACCCTCTGTGCTCAGAGTCCAGTTCAGCAACGGGTAAGGGGTTCGGTTTAGCAGAAGTGGGCCCAGTCCTCACAATGAAAATAATAGCACCCTTCTTATTTTCCAGCAAGTGTTATTCAGAGATGGAGTGTTTCTGATACCACTTACAGTTTGTCCTCAATGAAATGGTCTAATCCCCTTTTAAATATTTTAAGATGATAGCCATCTTAATGATAGCAAATTCATAGTGACTGTATTGTGTGTAGAAGTGCTTCCTTTTTTGGATCCTGATTCTCTCACCATTCAGCTTTACCAGTTGAACCCAAGTTCCAGTTTCCCTCCAGAGAAAGGGGGGAAAACATTACCCTTTTTGCCCACACAATGCATAGTTGTATACACCTCTATTATATCCTTTTTTACTTATTGTCTAAGATAAAGAGCCCCACTCAGTATAATCTTTCCCTGTATATGAATTACCCCAGCCCCTTGACTATTTCTGTTGCCCTTTTTGTACCTTTTCCAGCTGTAAAGGAGATTGAGTGGCAGAAATCTGAATCTTTCAACAAGTGTATGACAATAAAGTCAGTTGCAAAACTTGCTTGTTTTCCAGTGGAACCAGATAGTACAGGTAGACTTTTATCCCATGGTCTAACAGTTCTGTGGTCTTCAGGCAAAAATCATAAACTGCCAAATGCATTTCCCTTGGATAGTTTTTCAAAACACCAGCAATGACAGAAAATGTTATTTAATAGCCTACTCAGAAAATCTGTAAGGCAAGAATCGAACAACATTATGTCTCAAACATGGGTCCACTTTCCTGTCAGGGAGCAGCTGTACATCAGTGTCAGGGCACCTGCTGTCCATGCAGAAGTTTCAGGTTCATCCTTGGCGCCTGCAGGTGAGGGTGTGCAAGACTGAAAGTGACTGTCTGCCACTCGTCACTCTGTATAGATTAATGGTCTGCCTGGGTGCAAGCAGTTTCCTGTGTCTCTATGACTTGCCTGACCTATTTTGTATATTTCAGCATTTCATGAAGATGCATGCTGAAAAGAAGCATAAATGTGATAAATGTAGCAATTCCTATGGCACCATATGGGATCTAAAGCGACATATTGAGGATTGTGGCAAGACTTTCCAGTGTACTTGTGGGTGCCCCTATGCCAGCAGGACCGCATTATTGTCTCATATTTATAGGACACAGCATGAGATCCCTGTTGAACACAGGTAAGGGTGATGTCTTTCATTGGTTGACTTGTTCCTGAATGTACACACACGTCAAGAGATAGCACAGAGTATATGGCTGGATTCTGGCACCTAAGATTCTAGCGTCTGGGATCACTGCTTCTCTTTTTCTTTTAGCTTTCCTTAAACATTTTATTAGAAAAGGAAACATAAGTGCTGCTCATGACATCTTTCATCAAAATGCTTAATGTAATAGGCTCATACACACTGAGTGCAGTTAATGAGAGATCAGTATTAAAGACGGGTACCACAGTGCAAAATTTTCTCTTAGGTCAGCATTGTTGGCTTCTTAAATCCTTTCTTGCTAAACTGCTACAGTATTATATGTTGCCTTTCTTAATTTAATAACATAAGTCCAGGATTTGATTGTGGGCAATACAGGACTTCTTTGACCAGTGTTGTTGTTGTTATTTGTTAAAAACTTTTCTAACCCATCCACCACAAATGTCTTGGGACGTCTTACAAAAAATGACCAGTAATAAATTTAAGCATGATTTCGGCATAGTACTGCCCTTTAATTCTAATTTCTGTTTAATTTTTTCTAAATAACGTTTTCAAAGCACACCTTCCCATTACTTTCAACCTGGGAGTTTGTTTCAGGAATGGAAAGGGTGAAACAGTGTGAGAGATTTCATAGAAACCTTCCTTTACCAATGTCTTTCCTTTCCAGATTGACCTAAGAAAGCAGGATAGCACGTGTTTCCATATTTATAAGCATTTAACCTTGATTTGGAGAGAATGGGGAATATTGTGATAGCTGAACCCAGTTATTAAGGATTTATTAATGTTTACAGGGATCCACCTAGTAAGAAAAGAAAAATTGAAACTTCACTATCAAGTAAGCTGTTGGGGGAGAACGTTAAAGAAGCCTCTGCTCGTGTTCACAGCAGATACACTAGCACTAAAGACTTGGAGATGCCTGAGATCAAACCAGCAGCTTCCTTTGAAGATTCCAGCCGTTCCTGTACCACTAAGCAAACACAAACGCAGCCAAAAAATGCACCAAAGTTGCTTCTGCCAAAGCCCAAAGTGGCTTTGGTTAAACTTCCTGTAATGCAGCTTACTCACTTGCCTATCTTTGTATCAGCCCCTGAATCTTCTGTCAAACCTGTTGTAGTTGCTGTTGATGACAAAGGCTCTGTTATGAGTACTGTTCATTTGATGCCTCTGCCAGTAGGAATTATGATGCCTGCCCTGGAGGCTGAAACATTTGTATTTAAAGACACTCTAACCTTTTCAAAAACCAAAAATACTGGCAATGTGGAGCCAGTTAGCACAGGTATCCAGGTCAATTTGGATAAAGTCACATCAAGTAATACAATTCGTGGTCTGGAAGCCATATGCTACAAGAATGGAATTTGTTCCACCAATGTACAAACGGACTTATCTTATATTTCACAGAACCTTGTGCCCTCTGCAGCCTGGACTCCTGATTCCTCAGTGTCTTCTTGTTCTCAGACAGATCTGACATTCAGTTCACAAGTTTTGTTGCCAGTTAATGTACAGACTCAGACCCTGCTGCCCACTTCAAAGCCAACTTCCTCCATTGCTGCTCAGACAGATGCACTTGCCCAGTCTTGTCTGCAGTCCTGTGGAATTTCTCGAGAGACTCAGACCAGGAAGTCACAGAAAAGTACTCATGGGAGAGTACAAATGGACCAGGCGGTCATGTGCAGTGATCTTTTTGACAGTGTTAATTCTTCATTTAATGATGAACCAAATTCAGTGGTTCTCCCAAGCAGCAACTTGATGGCTACAGGCCTGGATCAAAGTTTGCTGCAAAGAGGGAGCTGCAAATCTTTGAATCAAGACACTAAGTGTGACCCAATTATCAATTTCAATTCACAGAATAATATTCTCCCACACCAAGTTATGACAGACAATCAGACACAGACTATGAAGTTACTGAATGATCTGGAAACTATTTTTTCGAGCAGTACAGCTGGGCAGTCATTGGATAACCGTAGTCTTTTAACCGATACTAGCTCTAATTCTGACACGCCTTCTGGTCCTGCACAGAACTCAGGAATAGATTTTGACATAGAGGATTTCTTTTCAGCTTCGACTATCCAGACTCAGACAGAAGAGACTGAACTTGGTAGCCTGCATTCTGAGCCTGTCCTGGAATCCCTAGATATTGAAACTCAAACAGATTTATTTTCAGATAATGCCACACAGTCCTATACCTGCAGAGCTAATCCCAATTTCTTAGGCTTGGAGATGTTTGACACACAGACTCAGACAGACCTAAATTTCTTCTTAGATAGTCCCTACCTACCTTTGGGGAATATCTTGAAGCAGTCTGCTTTCTCTATGAGCACTGACTCGTCTGATACAGAAACACAGACAGAAGTGCCATTTCATGAGAGAAATGCTTCTAATCAAATCGCAGAGAGCAAAGTCCAGCTGAATAGTGCTGAAACGCAGACCATGGATAGTGGTTTTGAAACTCTAGGCAGCTTATTCCTTACCAGCAACGAGACCCAGACAGCGATGGATGATTTTTTGTTGGCTGACCTAGCCTGGAATACAATTGAGTCACAGTTCAGTTCAGTCGAAACACAGACTTGTGCAGAATTGTGCTCTTTGTGGCAAGGTTCAGAAAAAGCCAGCCATTGAGTGTGGTTCTCAAGTTCTATCTTATCTGAAAATTAAGTGGTGTGTGGGTAGGTGTAACTGACATTGGCGTTAGGTCTGCTGAATGTAATTCACCATATACAGTTGGTTTACAAAGATGTCATACAGTAAGATATTTAAGTGTTGTGTGTTGTTACTAAACTGAATCCTACGTGGCTATGTTCATTGTAGTGTGTAAATGTACGTTTGAACACTTCATAACTGCTAGTTAGTTGGTTCATGCCTCTACTATTTTTTTTAACCCAGAATTTTAAAATTGTAGTCCTTAGTTATGTCTGTACTCTGAACTTGCAACTAAGGCTGTAGTTCTTTACTTAATTATTACTGAGAAACTCCACCACACAGAGTAGAATTTCAGAATGGAAACTTTAGGCATAGGATTACACCGTATTCTTTTAAAAAATTGGACCACAAGCGAGTTGTTTTTTGTTTTGTTACTGCGCAGTGTCATTTCTTTTTGTTCCTTATGTTGGAATTGGTTGTCATAATTATTGTAAAGCAGCTACATCATGGTTGTGCCCATCAGTTCCTTCCGATTCGTTCTTCAGCGTATTGATTTGTTCACGCATGAGCAGGGGAACAAAGGCATGTCAGGGGCATGGCGCCACACCTGCTCTTCCTGCCCCCTTGGCCCCAGAGCTGAAGAAGGGGTCTGCGTCACTGCAGCCAGACTGGTGATTGAGGAGGTGGCGCGCTCATGCGCAGAGATGTGGGGATGGGGACAGCCTGCCCAGGGTTCCAAGGCAGGATTCTGCAGACTTAGAGAGGCATCTCAGTCATTGCATTATTCAGTGTAGTCACTCTTGTGAAATGCAACCACAGTATCCAAACCGGTTCTTGTTTTTTCTGACTTCTCATACTTCAAGTTCAGCTTTGTGCTTCAGGCCATGAATGGGAGGGCACTTGAATTTTGAAGCTACCATGTTAATAAAATTTCCCATATACTTGGTTTTTAAAATGGGGAAAATCTGTCTGGGTTGATCATGGATTTAATATTCTTGCAATGATGTTGGCATCCTAATACAATTTCAGCTTCGAACTCTTACCGCATATCACAATTGCCGCAGGCAAGAGTTGCTCTCAAACTCCACACACATAAGGAAAGGAGGGAGGACACCAATTCAGAAATTAAAGGAGGCCTCACAAGGTGCACCATATCTTATTATCTGGTCGCAGTGCATTTTGAAGCATCAGATGGTCTTCAGAGGCAGAAGTTGAAACAGTCTGCTCTTCTGTGTGAGACTGCCTTGTTTAACATACATCTCCAAAATGCAGGAAGTGTAAATTCTTTCCATTTGCACCTTCTGGAAGTCTTTTGTTCAATTCCTCTTTTAAATCTCAAGCTGCTGTCAGACAATTAGTTTGGAAACAGCTTTAAGGCAAGCAGTAAAAATGAGATTCTGTCAGCTCAGAACAAGATCCTAATAGCTAATACTGTTGTTCAGAGCAGCTAATTTGTGTGTAAAGGCAGCCATTAACCAAAGGCACCTTATATGCCAGTTGAGCTATAGCTGTGATGGTGAATGAATTATTTGAAGCCCCAACCTCCTCCAAGAAGCCCTGCTGCTTTCCAAAGCCAAACCGATAGAGGCTTTTGCCAGCCTTCAGTTCAAGGTAGTAACAGTCTACCAGCATAGATGTATCAGCTCTTCATCTTCCAAACTTCAAAGTCTGCAGACTTTGCAGCTGCTCACTATTTGCATTGATGTTCTCTAGGGAAAAAATATCTGTTGCATAGGAACAATTCTGCATTGCTTATCTGCTCTCCACATTAATTGCATACCAGGCTTGTTTCCCCCAATGTTTCTTCGGCAGAATGGTATACTCATTTCTCAGACTGCCATGGAAGTATGGAAAGAAAGTTGTGACTGGGTGATAAATGTATAGAACACATTTGGAATATGCTGCTGGATTGATTTAGCCAAAGATGGGCAACAGTTTTCAGGTTCATGCAAGCCCTTCTTTGCAGCTGCATGGCACACCTTTCACATAATGCCTTGGTTGATGCTGTTTAACAGCTGATGGAATCACATTTGTTTTGTCAGAACCCAACAGTGGAGTGTGAGCGGAGTGTGTATGCATAGAACCACATACACAGCATGCAAGTTGTTTTGATCTAATGGAAATTGCCAGTCCGTGGAGGTACTAGTATAACTCCGTGGTCACAGGGATGAAGCTGCCCTAGTTTATTATACACTTGGCAGATGGGCAGGACATGCTACAAAATTTCTAGTCCCTGTGAGGCTTGGTGCAAGAGTTGCTCTTCCAGTGCCAAGCAAGTCCAGCTAGCTGAGGTATGCTGCCTTGCAGTGGCCCTGGTGCATTTTTCATGACAAAATTGAAGTGGACTTGAATCGTGTGTCTGTGCTTGGAGGATGTTGCAAACATTTGGCGCTGATGTGTGTGTGTTTGTGAAGCTCTCACCAATGCATACAGCTAGCCTTCTGTTTCAAAAATATAGTTCCACTGGTGCAGTGGTGCTTGTATATCATGCCCTCAAGTTGGTGATAGTCTTTAGCTATTCTTAGATAGGAATTACTTCCAGTACCAGCACTGCAGTTGGTCTTTTAAGTATCTCTTTAAAGGCTGCTTGCTGAGACGTAGTGCTGCAAAAGCTGATGTTGAACTGCAGATGCAACTAAATCCATGCATTTGGGATTGGGAACAAAGGAAGAAAGGAAATTCTACATTCCTTTGGAGTGCAATAAAGTAGGTTTAAATGTTCTCTACAACTTTATGTGCAAAACTATGGTACTTTTAAAGCTTTTTTCCAGGAATTAAACATCTGACACATGCCTCCCTTTGAATGTTGCACTTTGTAGTGTTAGAAAGCCAAGAGTATAATTGGTAAGGAGAGTCTAAAGTAAAGAGAAACCATCTTGATAGTAAGCCACCTAGTCATACTTGTTGCAAAGACCTGACTCCTCGGAATCCATCATCCTCTAAAGCAGGTCAACAGATGCTGGAAGGGTCTGTTGCTCCCTCCCTCTGAAGGGCTGCCTAAAGGAAATGCCGAGTGTGTTGTGCAAATGCATCTCGTAACATTTTGTTGTTTTGGTTCTGTTGATTCCCAAGCACTTGAGACTTTATTGGACCAGAGTGTCGCCTGGATTGAACTCAGTCCTTTTGTGAGATTAATAGGAGCTCACAGAAGGAGTTTTGTGCTTGAAGTTCTGTCTTTGATTATTCCAGTTTCTGACTTCCGTTGCATGGCACAAAAGCAGGATTGTTACAGGAAAGGATGTTTCTGTAACCCTGACCCACCTGCCCTAGATAGAGATCAATAAGGCCCATACATTTCTGATTATTAAACTACTTTATGGAAAGGTAAATATAACATACTTAATGATATGCTTGTGATTTTGGTTCCAATTCCTAACTGCTGTAGTACTGGGATAAAAGGCCTGTTTCACTCAGTATCATTGATACAAATAATGAGGATGCTCTGGAATGATTCCCACATACCGTGCAGCACATACAACCTCTTTTAACTGCCCTAACTTAGTCCTAACTGATTTGCCTGCTTTCATTAAGGAAACTGCCTCACCCTTGCATTGTTCATATGGTGGGTTTTGGGGGCTTTTTTCAGAAGTAGGTCTGAAACATGAGGTTCATTTTTAGGCAGTGAATATAACAAATTACTACTTGGAACAAGTAACAGCCTGTGCATGTCACACTCTCGCTTCCAATATTTGATTAACTTACTTTCTCACACAGTTTCAAAATGGTAATCCTGCTTGTCTCTGGGGCATTTCAATACCCTTAATTTAATGGACAGTTCATCCATAGCCATTTTAGAGTTGTCTTCTCCGACCTGTTCCCCTTGGATGTTGAGGACATCAATCCTGGCCAGCATCACCAGTCTAAGAATGCGAGAAGCTGTATTCCAGAGCATCTTGACGGTACCAGATTTGGGGAAGCTGCTGTAAAACAAACTGGTAGGAACAAGTGCATTAGCGCTGTTTGCACTTACCGCTCCTAATAGACAGGATGAAGTGTTTGGAAAGGGTCAGCAGGCAGGAAATAGGCAACAGCATCCTAATGATTTACAAAGCTAGTCAACTTTTCATGAATACCATTTTCTACCAAGAACAGCAAAAATTTAAAACCAAGTTTTAATCCATTGAGGATTTTGGTGTGTTTGTTTCTGTAATTGAAGTATTCATGTACATGACAAACTGGTGTCTTATATCATTACATTCACTAGTTTCTGTGTGTATATTTCATTCTGCACAAAATGAAATTGTTGCTTATGTACTCTAGTGTACATTCTTTCCTTTGCACTTGTTCTTCCGTGGTAAGATTTGAGCCCAGAAAAGGAATTACGCTCGCATATGTGTGGCACTCTTTCACACACATGAGCACTCCGACTGCAAAGCCGAGCTGACCCGCAGCATATCATCACATGAAACAGCCTGTTGTAATCTGCTGCATGTTCCTTTGGGAGTCTGACTGGACTTGTTTTTGAGTAAATAGAGGGCTGTGTTGTCAATAAATCTGTATCCTGCAGATAAATAGTATGCTACCATGTTGGGGAACAGGATTTCAGTCTCTCTGATATCTAGTTTTCCACCAAGGGGGAATTAGGTTGTAAGGAAGATCACTGAGGCATATCAACTTAATGCTGACTAGTACAACCTAGGCACACGCTGAACTCGCGAACGGCACCTTCAATCCACATTGTGTGGGACTCAGTGCACGTGTGTGGATCCATCCCTCCAGGTCGATCCAGGTGACTGATGAATCCTGACAAACGACTGGTCATGTGGACAAACTCTCTGGGCAACCCCCTCTTGAACTCGAGTACTGTCTGGTGCCAGCATTTTGTGAATCCAGATCGCGCGTGTCACGAGTAGTGTTTGCAAGAAAACAGCACAGGGTGGTTGTTGCCTCCTTGTCAAGGGGGTAATTTATTTTTCATCACTCAGGAATGGGAGAAGGAAGCAGATGTGCTAGAAAAAACTTCAGAAAAATTCAACTGTGGCCTGCTGCTTTTAAGAGACATTTGCCATATGACCATTATTTTTTTGAGATCTGCCTTGGAGGAAGTGCATGATAGCAAATACTTCATACTTCATTATTGCCTACAGTAGCAGCTCCCCACTAATCTTTGGGAGCACAATGGTTTTTTCCTCCTCTGTGTTCACTTTGCTAAGTATGAGATTGTCTGAAACAATAAAGTCTCCTGTTTTGGTGCCACATGTCTCATGTTTTATTCTTTGATAGAGCCATGCTAGTTTGCAGGCAAGCTCATCAAGGTGAAATGCCAAAGATCGTGTTATATTACATGTGCATGTAATGATATTTTAGAACTAGAGTACATAAACACAAAAGCCCGATATACATGTGCAGTTTCTTCTGCTTTTAGACATTAGTAAAATGGTAAAACGGGCCTCTTCGTGCATGAAATGTACACAGCTGCATGCACAGAATTGCAAATCATTGTGAGGCTTAAACAACCAAACTCTTCTCTTGGAATGAAACTCTTCAGCAGGTCACAAATGTATGTGATAAAACATGTATATTGCAATGACAAATGAACAAATAAATAACTGCCTTATCATGCCAGAGTTTTCCTGATTTTTTTTTATACTAAATGAAATTGATGCTTATATACTCTAGTGTTTGTTTGTTTTCTACTTATCTGTCCTTGGAAAAGAAGGCATGCTATGAAAAATTCTGCAGACAAAGTAATTCCAACAGATTTTTAAAAGGGAAGTAATTCTTACCCACATACTTTCAACTTGTCTGAGAGGAGCAAAAGTTTGCCTGCTGTGAAATAGGTGTTGGTGTTGATCACTATTCAGTGGAGTTGATCAGTGTGTTTCTACCTTATATCGGACTTCTGAGCTTTACTTGGTTTTTGTAGCTAACTGTGCCTCCCATGGCAGCCAGTTTGTGGTGGTGCCCAGGTCACTTCATCAGGTTGCCAAAGCTGCTCACAGGCTTGTGAGTGCCGAGTGGGTCACACGAGCATCGCTGGTTTTTCTTGCACACAGCCAGGCTCCTGGGCCCCCTCGCCGCTTGCTCCATCAGCCTGAATGATCAGCATCTGAACTGAACCAGCTGGGAAGGGAGGGAGGGAAAAGCAAGGAGAAAGGGGAGAGAGGGGAGCAAGGAGGGTGGTGACTTAAGGTGAGGAGAGCATACCTTGGAGGAAGGACAGCAGAGGAGGAAAGCCGAGATGGACAGAAAGGAGGCCAAAAAGGGGCAAGGAGGAGAAAGAAACTTGGGAAAGACCAGAACAAGTACATGTACTGATAAGGCAAGAGCAAGATCTGACAGGGACAAAGAGTCCAGTTCGGATCTGCTTAGAAGCAAGCTTGCAGAAACCTTGCTTGCCTTTGGGAAGTAAAGCCTTTCTACCCTTCCTTCCTTAACCCAAATCTGACAATCCAGTGGTTCAACTTCTAGGAGCAGGAGAAGATGAAGGATATTGGAGAGGAAGGCTTTTATTTTTAAAAAATCTTCAAAATGGCTATAAATCAGCATTGATATCTTTCAGGTGACTTGATCAGGCAATCTTGTTTACAGGTGGAGAGTTCTTTGGGACAAGATCTTCACAGAAATGAACAATATAACCAAAATACCATTGCTTTGACCAAGTATTTGCAAGTATTTTTTTCCGAATTGTCTACACTACTTAAATTTATTTTGCTTAGCAGTAACAAGAGCAGACATTACTATTCACAAGAAAAATTCAGCAGGCTTACCTATCAAAGCATGATTTTGAGATTATTAAGAGACAAATTCATTTGCCACATGATGATTGTTAGGAGCCCAGCAAAACCTGAAACGTTTTATGCAGTTTTGTAGTATGTCATAAGGTTTCTGACTTGAAGGTTTTGTGGTCTGGTACTCAGTTTATCCTAATTAAGTCTGAATTGTGAGATTTAAAAACAGTTTTGGACTATGTTTAGGCTGCAATTCTATTGCTGCTAGATGGAGTCCAGATGTCCTGAGTAGAGGCCCATGTGCAAGCTCCAATCTCAGAAATGTTCTTCAGCAACAAAGCTGGGATTCCAATGTCAGAGTGCCCTCACAGCTTACATTCTTTCAAAATATGTGGCTGAAGTCAGCTAAGTCTTTTGCAAGGTGAAAGAAATGCAGAGGCAGCCTTTGCCTCCACACTCCTGCCCTGTGATCCTCTGGATCCAGTGGGTTCTGGGGACCCGTTTATTGTACTGGACAATTCTATTATATCTTGTTTTTAAAGGTTCATAAAATGCAGTGGGCACTGGATACTGTTAATCATCTGCAGAGAGGTACCTAGGCACTTGCACAGCTAGAATTCCACTGGGATGAAGAGGAAAATGACAATGTATTCCTTTTAATAAGCCCCAGTTGCTGGGAAATATTTTCCCCAAATCTCATGATGGAATTACAGAATTAATTTGTCATAGGCAGCTAGAGTTCTAATGCTAAGGCTCCCAGTTGCAGGTAAATAAGAGTTAAGACTACTTACCTCTTCTTCACAGTACCAATACTGCATTACAGATATTATCCTGCTGTTGCATGAAAAGCAATGCTTCTGACTACTGAATACAAGGCTACAACCCTGTGCTGTGCAGGGTTAGAGCTTGAATAATAGCAACATTAGATCTGCAATAAAAGGCTCATGAAATCCATTGTTTCCTGCTCCACTTACTGACACAGGTCTTTGAAAACTTTCCCCTCCAACACAGTTTCAGTTACACTCTTGTAGTGTAATTAAACATCCGAGTCTTCTGCAGCTGCAAAAGCATTGATTTCTGAATGGGTGTATTGTACGATTTCATCTGCGTTTTCATAATATTTGTATGCATGAAGGGGTTAGCAGGACGTATATATCCTTGAAGATCTTTGGTACAACTATAATTGCCTTATTGTATTATCAAGGTATCCCTTTTCTACAAAGCACACAGCTATAGTTGAAAGACAAGTAGGTCAAGACTTCAGAGATTAGAAACAATAGTGTCTTTCTACTGGGGTTCATGATTCATTGACCTGCTATAGAAACAATAAAAGTTATTCCAGTTTCCCTTGAACCACTGGCATCTTGCAAAATGTGGGGAACAATCCTCACTTCTGGTGGTACCCCTCATTCTTTGTGTAGTGTAACTCTGGAGGGGCCCATAATGGGAGGAGGGCTTTGCAAAAGGCTGCCCCTGAATGAGAGAAGAGGAAAGGCCCCTGCGCACAACTGGGAAGCTGTCCATGATGCTTGGATGGAACCCCAGCTCTATATGGCATCAAGTCGCCACACTTTCCTTTTGTTTATAGTCTCAATAACAGTAACACACTGGAACCAAAATAGCCTCAAAAACCAAGATACCTTTAATTTTCAACTCCCCTCTTGAATTTGGCCTGATTAAAACTGACCCCTACCAAGTAACTGGCTACTCTTGACATTATTAGCTTATTAATTAAAGCTCAAGTCCCTAATATGAAGGCTGTTGTCCTTGCGATTTCTCCTGCTTTACCAGAACAGTTGGAGGTATTTATGTCACTTTGCAGTTGGAGTCTGTAATGTTCTATGCAGGAAAAAAGGTCAGACAATGTTAAGGACCAGAATAGAATATGTGAGTATCATGGACAAATCAAAGAGTGGTACATGGTTTTTGTATTTGCTTTTTAACCATATTATTCATACCAACTTTTTTTTCATTCTTCTTCTTTTTAGCAGCATGGCTACGAGAGACAGTTTTGGTTGAACTTTTGTCTCCTTTCTCAGTTCTCTTGACTGCAGCTACATCATTATTTGAAGGGGGTTCTAGATGCAGTTTGATTACACCTTCTTTATCTGGCCTAATGACCAAAAATGCATTTAAGGTTATACAGTTCAAGCTGTTGGAGGGATTTCCACGGGTTACCTTTGGTAGGCTGATATCATTGTATCTCAGCACTTCAGGTTCTCTGTGTTGTTGTGAGTACTTAATTTCGTATTCCTTTATTGGCAAGCTTCTTTTTTCACCCAGGAATGTCTGAATGGAGTCTAGTTTCCCTCTCATCCTTTCTCCCTCAGCGCTGGCTGTCATCATGGGGACATACCTGTATGGTTTGATGCAGGACATTCCATTCTTTTTGTTGCTTGAAACTGTTTCTTGTTCAGTAAATTTGCAATCCATTTTTTGACTTTCTTTTGCCAGTTGTGTTACCCAGCCTGCATTTTTCTTAAGAGAAGGAACCATACTCTGGTGGGACATGCTGGAGATCATTTTAGTTATTCTTGGTTTCTTATACCTTTTTGGGATCATACAGCATGAGAAAGGTGTAGCTCTCCCCCAGCCTTGCTCCTACGGAGGAAAAAAGGGTGCCTTTAAATTAATATAAAGAATTATATTAGTTATACCAAAAATGTGACTCTTCCACTTTACAGTTACTATGACTCTGGCCAAATGTTCCACTCCCAAATAGCACAGAATTTTGCCCAACTTCATCTTAATCCTTTCAGGCTACTTCTCCATGCCATAAAGCTTTCATTTAAAAGTGAATTAATTCCCCATGACACTTAATTGTTATTTTGGATCTAACCTGCTGATGTCAAAATATTAAGAAATTAATAGTTTTATGAATAAGATTCAAATAATTGTTTAGGCTAACATAAAGGCTTGTTAGCACAGTATAACTTTTTTTTCTTTGAACAGTAGATACATTTTAATCTCCCTCAATTTAAAAAAATAGATTTTCTAGTTAGCATAGTTGTTGTTCAGCAAAAGATAAACGCTTGGGCTGATGGCTCCAGTTTCCATGGTTTTCCACTAGTTTTGTTGTTTACATTATCTTTTTTGTTTATTTCTGTACAACCCCATAGCCAAAGCGCTCTGGGTGGTCAGTCATATTTAGTTAAATAGTTGGGATGTACATAAAGGCTAGAGAAAGAGAACAAACTTTCCAAAAGCTCTATCATTTACAAAGTATGTTGAATAACTCAAATGTAACAGAATTAAAAATCTGTTAAATGCATATCCTTATTCTAAAAGCTAATTAATGATGTAGCCACAATTATGCCATGTATATTCTTCAGAGGGCAGGAAGCAGGTTGCAAGGGACATAATCTGATCAGAGGGAGGGACTTTTCTGATTTCAGTGAAAGAATTACTGCTTCACAGTTTATTCCTATGCCTGTCTACTCAGGAGGCAGCTCCATTGAGTTCAGTGAGGCTTACCTCCATGCAATGTGAAAGCCGGGGGGGGGGGGGGTTTGCCGGGGGGCCCCCCTTGCGGGCCAGGTGAAGGGGGGGGGGGGGGCTTTGCCTCCCACCCTCATCAGCCCCTAAGCTAAAGTGCTGTCTGAAGCCTTGCTCCTCTAGCTCACACAAGCCAAAGACTTCCCGCCACCAGGCCTTTCCCCAGCCAGGGAAGCAACAGTGGTACAAAACCCACCAAGGTTTTGCTTCTCCTTCACATTCCTTGCAGTTCAGTGACTCCCTTCTGAGGTGGCAGAAACCTGGAAAGGGTAAGGGGGTCTCATGGTAAGTCCCATATCCCCCATCCCTGGTATACATGATTGTGACTTCAATCCAAAGTAAACTGGGGGCACATGCAGCCCAGTTCTGTGCATTTCTATCCAGAGATAAGTCACATGATGTTCAGTGGGACATAAGTCTGGACTAGATCATACCAAAAGAACATTATTTTCTTCAGTTTCCATTTTGGAGGAGCCTTACAATGATATCCAGAAGTATAGCTTTTAAGTGTAACAAAGCATGGTTCATAAAGCAGCTCCATACTTTGGTCCGGCTGAGAAGAATCTTAAATTTGCCTGAACTATTTCATAATTATTCCCTGATCACTGGAGTTGGAGACTTCACACTTGAAAAACTGGTATCATATTGATTTATACCCGCAAAGAGTTAAAAATTAATAGTATGCACTTTTATTCTTACTGTTTTAAAGAAAGCAACTTTATCATTCTATGTGTAAATATGAGCACTACATTCTTTAAATCCACTACTTCACAAAGGTGAATATGGACAATATCACTATCCTTAGTTGATGTGTGGTAACACTTCCTATCACTTAGCAAGCTTGTGCAGGTACCTGACTCACCAAGGGATTATACAGCTGAGCTACTGCTTGTTAAATTGTTATCTGTATTCAACTATCATCTTTCAAAGGTTGGTCAAGAACTGTGTGTTTGAAGAGAGGCATGGGGTTTTTTGCCACTTTTGCAAAACAGCTCTGAAGCCAATCCCATCAATACATGGTAAAAACCCTCTCCCAAGTTCGGACAACATGACAACCCACCATGGGCACAGACAACCCATAGTGTTCTCAGGGTGGCTTGTTGATGAAAATCAAGCCACCCTACTAAAGATACACTGGGTTTGGGTAGCATGATGGGTTGTACAAATCCAGTCTGTCACAACGAGCCGTGGGTGGTTTGTAAGCCAGGTTTGGCTTGTCATGTTGGTTTATTAATCACTGGGTTCAGACAACATGACAAGCCATCCCTGGCTTAAAAACCTCCATGGCTTATCATGCAGTGTGGAGCCAGTTTAACTGATACTGTATGTTACCAAGAATGTATGCCACAGGACCATAATTCCTAGCGATACATGTGTCAGTGTGAGCACATGCATACACATATTTTCTTGATGTACACACATACAATGAGAGATGACAAAGTACTTCATCTAAGCCCAGAAATATTTCCAAGGAAGTGGTGGTAGGAACAGGAAGAATGGTTGCTTTGCAGCCAAGTTCCAAGCAGACACAACTACAGAATTAAAAGATGGTTCAAGGTTTATCATGTTCAAGAATTGTGCTTCTAATTACAATAAAAAGAGAGTTCACTCTTTTTAAATGGTTGCCTCCCAAAATAACTCAGAAACTTTCACAAATTGTTATGCATGGTTTCTTAAATATTTCAGGTTAAAGAATTTCTTAAAATGACTACCTTAATCCGTTTTTGTGGCAATAAGCTATGAGAAAATAGCTATTTACATGGCTTTCTTTCATCTTGCTATTATAAAATATTTCTACTGAAGGCCAAATCACAACCTTTAATATTGTAGTGGCACCATTCTCCACAAACAGTTTGCTTTCAACTACTGCATGTTCCTTCATGTAGGAACACAGAGTATTTTACTATGATGTACATTTGGCCTGGCTTTCCCTGGTCAAACATAATGCAGGATCTCAGTATTGATGCAGGTGGGTCAGTAGCAACCTCCACAATATTTTTCCAGCAGCTGTGATTGTGAAAATTGCTGCCAGCTACTTCCACAAAGTCTACTGTGAAAGAGGGCACTCTATTTGTATGCGCAAGAAACACAATTTGTTAACAGCACTTCAGAATTCTTGCATATACATGAGAGACTGATATAAGTTAGATGCCTTACTTTACTAGTTTAACAAATGAAACAAAGCCATTCAGATATCTGGGATCTTAGTTCACAGCTCTGATCAGTTTGTCTACAAAATCATTTGTTTGAGGCTAAAAAGAATTTGGCAAGATTGTAATGAGAGTAAAACTACCTAAAGAAGTTTCTATATGGTTGATAAATCTTGGTTTTATGGAAGACTCTGGGACTTGACACTGGAACTCTTGCAATTGGATATCCAGAAATGCCATTATCTTCCTGCTACTCCAAATGCATCAGAAAAGGTGTAGGATAATTATGGCAGGTCTTGACAGTAAGGTATCTTGGACTGAAATACTGAGGAACGTGTTGTCACTGTGCATACAGAAAAGTATTTTATTGAAGCTATCTAGACTATAAAGAAAGGTGAGTAACCTAATTTGGCATGGAAGGAAAAGTCCTACCTAACCAAAATAAAGCTAAACATATAAACAGTCTACAAAAAATGCAAACAAATAGTTCCATTACTTACGCTCTTATCTATACATTGTTCAAACAGTAAAAACTAAAGGACAGTGTTCAAATGTAACATTTCTCACAACATCTAGAACCAGGTACAGTTTCCAACCAAAAAGTGCAATGCTCTGGAGAGCAGAATAGTTACGATACTTTTCCCGCCACTGTTCAGACATGAGACACTTGGCCCAGGCCTGTGCCACCTACGTCCCATCCAGCTGTATATAGTTTATTAGCTACATGGTGTGGCCTGCCTGATGTCTCACCATTTTCCTTTGCCATCTGTGTGGGCCACACATGGTTTGCTGACTCCCAAAAGGAGCAGCTTCAATTTAGGCAAGGCCTGGCCCATCAAAGAGGAAAGGGCTCGTCTCTGCAATCTTCCTATGTTCCCAATTTGGTTCACTAAGCAGGAATATCCCCTGAAATGGCAACAGCACAGGGCACAGTGGTCCTCCACTGGCCCCTCCCCTGCACATGGACCAAGGAAAACTGCACTGAAGCAGCCCAAATGTGTGCATTGCACGGACTGGAAGCACCAAAACACCATGTCCTAAACAAGAATTGGGTGAGTGTGCTTTTAAAGACAATAAGGTTTTACTCTTCTGGAGGCCTCATCATGGCATTGCCCCTCCTAGCTTAAAGTCTATGATACAACCAAGTATCTTTAAGATACTTACTGAAATGATTATTATATTGTTAGAAGCAATAAATGGGCATTTTAATTTTGTACAGAAAGGAATGGTAGTCAAGTAAACAATCCCTCAATAAATATCCAGTCTGCTTTACAATAAGCCTTAAATATTCTCTCTTGTAGAGCATCCAAAATTAATCCATAAATAACTCAACATGAAATTACAATTTAAGAATTCAGGTCAGCCTAAAAGGCAAGGCAGTTATTGCAATACGGCTGACCGTTAAGGAAGGGAATAGTCCAGAAAGCAGTGGGATCTCTTGGGTTTTTGATTCGTTTCCTTGTTTGGTTCCAGTGTGACTCCTACTTCTGATGCAAGGGTCCTGCATTGCACTGGTTTTGCTGACTTGCATTCCTTTTGCGTGCAGAAACCGCATGTTGTTCAGATGATTGTGTCTTCTCAGTGCGATCGAATTAGACATGGTTGCAATGTTTCTGTCTGGTAAGAGAGCACAGTGCCAGTAGCACTGATCTGAATTTCTTGTGATGAATGAAGTCTTGGGAAGCCTTGGGACAAAACAGGACATCTCATGCATTTTAATTTGTTCCTTCACTGCATCATACATGGTGTCTATTCTTTTTTTATACTTTTCCTCTTTGATTTTAAAAACCTGAGTGCAGGACATTGTTTCTGAAACAGGGCAGAATGTTTTTTCACTTGCCTGGGTAATTAATGTCTTACTTTTCTTTGATGGAGGATCCAGGCTGTTTTTGAAAGCGGTCTCCTTCAGAGGTGGCAGTAGCAGTGACGGCTTAACAGCGGTACTTTCAGAGCCAACCTGGTCGTATACAAAAGGCTCATGACTCTTTGTGTCTTTGTATTTCAGGATTTCTATACTTTGGGGCTTTCCTGATGGCAGCATATTATACTCCTTTATTGGCACTGTCTTCTTTTCTGCTTGGAATAGCAAATTATCTTTCATTGGAAAAAAAATCCTTTCACTTAGAGAAGCCTGCGCTTCCTTTAAAGTCAGTTTTTTCATTTCTATTTGGGATGTCTGAATAGAGTATGTTTTGCCATAACAATTTTCATTTGTAGTGTCATCTGTTGCAGAAGAAGTGTTTATGTTTGTATTAGAATAGAGTTCTTGTTTTTCCGGAACACTATCTGTGATAACATTTGTACTAAATTTGCAATCAGATTTCAATTGATCTATAGTCTTGGGGTCTTGCTCCAAACCTTTGTCGACAACTTGCATCAGATCTAAGCAATAAAGGCATCCACCAACAGACTCACTTGTCCTTGTTTTTCTTGCTCTCTTTTGTAACTGAAGATAAGCAAAGGGGGCTGCTTTGCTCCAGCTTTGGACCTGACAGCAAAAAGATATCAATAGAAGTTAGGAAATATTGTGAAGAAATCAAATACAAATACAGTATTTGGAGTGGTAAGGCAACTACATTTACTAATAATCCAAGCCAAATATCTGACCCCCATAGGACAAAAATAAGCCCAATTTTCCCAAGTCCTATAAAATTAATTAATTTCCCTTATTAATAGGATGATCACACATCCATCAGTTGAGCTCAAATTCATTACCCAAACCTATTCCTGTTCTATTACCTGTCAATCCACACAGCCAACCAACTCCCCAAATCGTTATCCCAACTAGCAGTCATCAGCCATGCATGGATACACATGCGCTCTTTCTCGTTCTTATTCTCCCAAGATCATCGCCAGCCCATTCATTCTCATCCATGTGCCCTGCATGCGCTGCGTTCACTGAAACACAGGCATCCACACAGCTGGGCATGCAACAACGCTCAGCACTAGCCCAGGCTCCAGCTGCTCCACCATCTTAATGTTCTAGTCTAGCTGCTGAATTTGGAGCCAACAGGAGGGTTCAAGTAGTTTCCAAATCCAGCCCCACATGCAACCAGTCCAGAACACATTGAAAACACCATCATGTGAGACTGTGGTTTGAAAGCTTCCACTTTTTTTTAAATCTCCCACTCAAGTGCCAGAAAGAGAGAAGAGCGAGAAGTGACAAGGAGTGCAGGAGTTTGAGGCTCATACAAGCACGTTCATATGGCAGGATACCAGGATTGCCCGTCATGTCTGAAAACAGCCTAGCAGTGTGTTTTGAGTTCAAAATGTCAATGTTAGTCGCAAAGTTGTGCATGTCCCATCACGACTCCATAGACAACATTCTTCCAGGCTCTCCCATCCTCCACCATCCCCTGGAGTCCACCCAAGCTCACACCGACTGCTTCATTGACTCCATCTAGCCACCTCATCCTCTGCTGTCCCCTTCTTCTTTTGCCATCTATTGTTCCCAGCATTAGACTCTTCTCCAGGGAGTCCTTCCCTCTCATTAGATGGCCAAAGTATTTGAGTTTCATCTTCAGTATCTGGCCTTCTAAAGAGCAGTCAGGGTTGATCTCCTCTAGGATTGACCGGTTTGATCGCCTTGCAGTCCAAGGGACTCGCAGGAGTCTCCTCCAGCACCACGATTCAAAGGCCTTCGGTGCTCAGCCTTCCTTATGGTCCAGCTTTCACAGCCATACATTGCAACTGGGAAAACCATAGCCTTGACTATACGCACTTTTGTTAGCAGGGTGGTGTCTCTGCTTTTTAGTATGCTATCTACCTTTGCCATAGCTTTCCTCCCCAGGAGCAAGCGTCTTTTAAATTCTTGGCTGCAGTCCCCATCTGTGGTGACCTTGGAGCCCAGGAAAATAAAACCTGTCACTACTTCCATTTCTTCCCCATCTATTTGCCAGAAATTGAGAGGACCGGATGCCATGATCTTAGTTTTCTTAATGTTGTGTTTCAAGGCAACTTTTGTGCTCTCTTCTTTCACCTGCATCAAACATAGAAACAGAGCGAGTCTCCCGGGCCATCTAGTCTGACCTCCGGCACCAGCCAGCTCCGTTCATGACATGCCCACCATGTGGATATCCAGCCTATCCTTTAGTTCCTCTTCACTTTCTGCCATTAGATTGGTATCGTCTTCATATCTGAGGTTGTTGATATTTCTCCCGGAAATCATAATTCCAACTTGTGATTCATCTAGCCTGGTCTTTCGCATGATGTACTCTGCATATAAGTTAAATAGGCAGGGCGACAGTATACAGCCTTGCCAAACTCCTTTCTCAATTTTGAACCAATCAGTGGTTCCGTGTCCAGTTCTCACTGTTGCTTCTTGACCCACACATAGGTTTTTCAAGAGACAAATAAGATGGTCTGGTACTCCTATCTCTTTAAGAACTTGCCACAATTTCTTGTGATCCACACAATCAAAGGCTTTAGCATAGTCATTGAAGCAGAAATAGATGTTTTTATGGAACTCCCTAGCTTTCTCCATGGTCCAGCATATGTTGGCAATTTGATCTCTAGTTCCTCTGCCTCTTTGAAACCCTGCCCGTACTTCTGGTAGTTCGCGGTCCACATACTGCTGGAGCCTGGCTTGTAGGATTTTGAGCATAACTTTTCTAGCACGTCAAATGTGCGCAACAGCACAGTAGTTTGAACATTCTTTGGCACTGCCCTTCTTTGGGATCGGAATGTAAACTGACCTTTTCCAATCCTGTGCTGAGTTTTCCAAATTTGCTGGCATATCGAGTGTAGCACTTTAACTGCATTTTCTTTTGGGATTTTGAGTAGCTCAGCTGGGATACTGTCTCCTCCACTAGCTTTGTTGTTGCTCAGACTTCCTAAGGGCCATTTGACTTCACATTCCAGGATGTCTGGCTCGAGGTCAGTGACCACCCCATTATGGTTATCAGGGACATTAAGGTCTTTCTTGTACAGTTCCTCTGTGTAATCTTGCCACCTCTTCTTAATCTCTTCTGCCTCTATTAGGTCCCTGCCATTTTGGTCCTTTATCATGCCCATTTTCTTGAAGAGATCTATTGTTTTCTTCTGTTTCTTTGCACTGTTCATTTAAGTAGGCATTCTAAACTCTTCTAGCTAGTCTCTGGAATTCTATATTCAATTGGGTGTATCCTTCCCTTTCTCCCTTGCCTTTCACCTCCCTTCTTTCCTCAGCTATTTGTAAAGCTTCCTCAGATACCTGAGCGGCCTAGTGCTTTCCCCTACTTTCTTTAATTTAAGTCTAAATTTTGCAACAAGAAGCTCATGATCTGAGCCACAGTCAGCTCTTGGTCTTGTTTTTACTGACTGTATAGAGCAGGGGTCGGCAGCCTTTAACACTCAAAGAGCCATTTGGACCCATTTCCCACAGAAAACACCGGGAGCCACAAAACCCTTTTGACATCTAAAATGAAGATAACACTGCATATATAGTTTTTTACCTTCATGCTATGTATAAAAAAAACTATAGTGTGTTGTATTTATGAAATCAATGAACTGCTACAGAGAAAAAAATTTTTATTTCTGCATGCAACAAAAACATTTTGAACTCCGAAAAAAAAGACACTGGGTTGAAAGTTACTTTCAAATAAAATACTCTATGTCTATCTGAGCCCTCCTCATATTTATGAAATAAAAAGCCGAACTTATCCACTAGCAGCAAACCAAACATGCCACCTGCAGCAAACCAAAAATGCTGTCTGCTTCTGTGTGCCCTCATCCTTTTATCACATGGTGAAATATTAAACAAACATCCCTCTCCCAATGTAATAATGTTGCTGGAATTTTTATAAGAATCTTCTTAAAACAAAAGTAGATCTATATCTTCATTATGATTTAGCTGCAGCTCTTGTTCAGTCACTAAAAACTGTTATTTTTAATCTTACATTATAAACTAGCAGGATTCCTTTCATATATTTTGGAGAACAGCTTCCTGCAAAGTCAAAGTCAGTGCTAAAGGGCTGCATGCATTAAACAGCAAACCCTTTAAGTTCATCAGCAGTAAAAGCAAATGAGTCTACCCACATACCATTGAATGTTCCGTTTTCTTCAGAAACTTTTCTTTGGATTTATCCATGGTTGGGGGGGGGGGGACTCAGTAAATCAGCGCAGGTATAGGTGTGTTTAGTGACTGATTAGCAGATAAACAGTCAAGTGATGTGAATTGTGACAGGTCCCAAGCACAGCTTTTAACATTCAGATGAAGGAGATGACATTGGGACGAAGAGAATCTTTTCAGCGCATTTCGTGTAACATGAGAGCCTGCAGGAACCTTGTTTAGCGGAGGAATGTAATGATTTACTTAACTAGCTGATTTACTTAACTAGCTAGCACAGCATTACTGAGTGGAGCTTCGAGCAGATCAGCAGCTGTGCCAGCGCGTTTTGAGCGATGGAGCCGCAGCAGAGGGGTTCAAGAGCCACATGCGGCTCCGGAGCCACGGGTTGCCGACCCCTGGTATAGAGCTTCTCCATCTTTGGCTGCAGAGCACATAGTCAATCTGATTTTTGTGCTGACCGTCTGGTGATGTCCATGTGTAGAGTTGTCTTTTGGGTTGTTGGAAGAGTGTTTGCTATGACCAGCGTGTTCTCTTGACAAAATTCTGCCAGCCTTTGCCCTGCTTCATTCTGTACTCCAAGGCCAAACTTGCCTGTTATTCCAGTTATCTTTTGGCTTCGTACTTTAGCATTCCAATCCCCCATGATGATAGAGACATCATTTTTGGGAGTTAATTCTAGAAGGTGTTGTAGGCCTTCAAAGAACTGGTCAGCTGCAGCCTCTTCAGCATCACTGGTTGAGGCATAGACTTGAATGGTTTGCCTTGGATTCAAACTGAGATCATTCTGTCATTTTGGAGATTGTATCCTGGTACTGCTTTTCCCTACTTTTATTGACTACGAAGGCTACTCCATTTCTTCTGAGGGATTCTTGCTCACAATAGTATACCTGGTCATCTGAATTAAATTCACCCATTTCTGTCCATTTTATTTTGCTGATTCCCAAGATGTTGATGTTCTGTCTTGTCATCTCATGTTTGACCACGTCCAGCTTACTTTGATTCATGGATCTTACATTCCAGGTTCCTATGGAGTATAGATCTTCGCAGCATCAGACTCTCCTTTCACCACCAGATACATCTGCAACTGAGTGTCCTTTCGGCTTTGACCCAGTCGCTTCATTCTTTCTGGCGCTACTAGTACTAGCCCTCCACTCTTCCCCAGTGGCGCATTGGACACCTTCTGACCTGAGGGGCTCATCTTCCGGCGTCATATCTTTTTGCCTTTTGGTACTGTCCATGGGGTTTTCATGGCAAGGCTACTGGAGTGGGTTGCCATTTCCTTCTCCAGTGGATCACGTTTTGTCAGAGCTCTCTGCTATGACCTGTCCATCTTGGGTGCCCCTGCATGGCAGAGCTCATAGCTTCATTGAGCTACGCAAGCCCCTTTGCCATGGCGAGGCAGTGATCCATGAAGGGGATGTTTTGAGTTCCATGGAGATAAATGTATTTACTATCAAATAAATTCCATAAAATCAGTATGTTTTAATTATTATTCATGCAAGATAATAGTGAAGGAAAGACAGGGTAGAAAGTCAAAGCAAATTAATAGCACAATTTTCTTAATGGGATTTTTAAACTAATTAACACACTTGATGAATGCTGGAATTTTTTAAATCAAACAATGAAACACTGAATTCCTACCAGTAAAGCACCTTTTATTAGTCAGAAGATCTTAACTCTGATTTAGTAGAGATTTACATCTGCAAATATATTAGCTTGCTGTGTTGGGAACTGACTGAATATCTGAATGTACATTCAGAGACAGATGGCTTTTGTATGCATTCCATTGGTTTAATAGGGACTGCAGGTGGCGCAGTGGTTTAAACCGTTGTGCTGCTGGGCTGGTTGATCAAAAGGTCACCTGTTCGAATCTGCACAACAGGGTGAGTTCCCATTGCTCCGTCCCAGCTCCTGCCAACCTTGCAGTTTGAAAGCATGCAAATGCAAGTAGATAAAAAGGTACCACTTTGGTGGGCAGGTAACAGTGTTCCGTGCACTTCGGTGTTTAGTCATGCCGGCCACATGACCACAGAGACTGTCTGCGGACAAACTCTGGCTCCCTCAGCTAGGAAACGGAGATGAGCACCGCCCGAGTGTCAGACATGACTGGACTTAATGTCAAGGGGAAACCTTTATCTTTACCTTTACTTTACCTTACCAACAATCCCATCCACATTCTGGTGCAGACCTAATGAAGAACATTTTCTATTGCAGTTTTGGCTGGTTACCTATATTTAATGAAAGCATGTTTATTTGAACCAGTTTCCATTTACATCCAAAATTGGAAAAAGTGGTTTAATCTCTGGTTGCTAAGCAAGATGTGAAAGTTCTGATCTTCATATCCTGGCTTACAGTCTAAGATTAAACTACATTTTGTGCATCAAATGGAGGTACAGAGATAAATGGCAAGTGCATGGTCACAATAAACCATAGTATATTATCTGGGATCATAACAGTGGGGCATAGTCAAAAACACAACTAGTGCCTATTTAGTACAGCAGGTGCTCTTCTGAAAGAATCACTTGTGACATAATTATAATTACTGTAATAACATAAAATCCTCACTCACAGCTTCTTCCCATCCTGTTCCACTAACACACTCCAAGGGCCTTTCCTCTCGCTCATTTACACTGCTACTAATGCTCAGAAGAGTATAGATCTGATTCCTTTCCCGCCTCTCATTTGGGTAGGTGCAGTATGACTCTATGTCCACACTTCTTGTATTTGTAGCAGCTCTTTCGGAATGGATTTCACTTTGGTTCTGTCCAGAGGAAGTCATTACAGTTGCTAAATCTGCAAGCTGCACGTCTTCTGCCTGCAGGAAGATGGTTTTTAAAGTATTGTAATCAAGGAATGTTTTTATAGCAGCATAAATGAAACAAAATAGGAATTCCTATATCTTCTGTGAATGAGTATACAAACATTCTGAGTTACATTCTCCTGGATGTTTTAGTCTGCCTTATAAACAGACTTCTGTGTGCTGACATCAGCCTGTTCATCAGCTAGTATGGTGTTAATGACAGCAGGCTGTTACCCTGGTCTTTCTTTTATCTAAGAGGACATAAATTTTCAGCAGCATTTAACAGAGCCTACATATCCTGAAACACCAACAGGACCATCTAACAATTGTATTCACAATCTCAAGGTGAAACACATGATTTTCCTCATTGTTCTCCATACATATATATGCACATACATACATACATAAGGGTGAAGAGGGGATTCTAGCATGTCACAGTGTTTTGCAAGTCATGACACCGCAGCTATTTCAGAGGGGTCAAAAAGGAGAACAGAAGGAGGTTGTTTTTTCCATGTGGTTAAAGACCGTGTGACTCAAAACAAGATAGCAGCTCCAGACAGCATTACTCCTAGAATGCTGTCATCACATTTCCTTTCTTGTCATCCTAGATAGTGTTACAGCAGGAATCCATTCTAAAGCCTGTGTATAAAAGTGTGGTAAAATGCCTACAGTGCAAGGCAGTTTTTTGGGGATACAAAATGTTCATATACAACTTCCACACTTTAGAACAAATGCCTTAACATTTTCTGTCCTCCGCATTCTGCTTGCTTTCCCCCAGCTGAAGTTCTTTGCTTACCTCCATGTCACAAGCTGCATCAACTTTTCTCCCACCCACAATTCCCTTTGTTCAGAAAACAAGCTACCAGGTATCTTCCCAGTTTGGAAGTCATGCTCTTTATCATGTCTGACACATAGCAACATATTCCTTTTATTTATTTGCTTTAGAACTTTCAGAACATTTCTCATTTTTAAAATCCTGCAGCATTATTACTACAAAACCTGACATATGATGTATACAAAATACACTGCAAAACCATGCATCATTATATGATTACAGTGAGAGCCAGTGTGATATAATGGTTAAAAGTGCTGGATAGGGACTCCAGAGATCTGGGTTCGAGTTCCCACTCAGCCATGGAGCCAACTGGGTGACTTTGGGCCAGTCACAGACCTTCAGCTCAATCTACCTCATTTGGCTGTTGTTACAGGGATAAGATTGAGAACAGGAGGAGGAGAAAAGTGTAAGCCACTCTGAGTTCTTTGTAAGGAAAAAAAAGGCAGGATGGAATTTTAATTAATTAAAAACATCACAGCACATTCTCTTGCTCTTATTTAAGGGAAGGGCCTCAACAGAGGGATGGAGACACCTTACTTTTTAAGTCCCTCAGCAGAGAGGCCTAGGCAGCCTAACCTACCTCCCAGAGCTATAGTGATGATAAAATGGAGGAGGAGGAGGAGGAGGAGGAGGAGGAGGAGGATGGCATAAATCACCTTGGGTTACTTGAAGGAAGAAAAGAGGTGGGATATAAATCTAATTTAAAAACCTTGTCTTTAAGCTATGGAACTGGTGCCTGGATTGGTGTCTACCTGGCTTGCAGCAGCTCTGTATCCATGAAAGCCACAGTGGCTTCTAGCCCTTAGTGGTAGAGCAAACCTTGTGTTGTTTTCCACCCCTGGTATCTCTATTTCAGGAAGCCTTCCTTGATGAAGCAGCCAGTTTCACTGAGACCCAATTTAATGTATTGTCTTATTGTCTGCCTTATTTTTTACTGTTTACCACTACAGAATCTGTTTAGATAGGAAGGGGTATTAGAAACACTCTAAACAAAATATAAGCCCCAATGTCTTGGGGCAAGGCATTCTTGGCAGGATTAGAGGCACTGTTTGGGCTAAATGGAGGTGGGAGGGCTCAGTACATGGCCAGAGGCACTTCTGTCCACTTTAAATGTTCATTTAAATGCTCATCACTCAGAGAAGAGATGCTAAGCAGGCGGCCTACTGGGCCTGGAGTCCACTTGGGCTCCAGATTTCTGGGAGGTCCTCTGCCCCCGCCCCGCCCCCCCCCCCCCCGCCCCCCGCCCCCCCCCCCCCCCCGCCCCCCCCCCGCAATCGTTCCTCCTCCCGCCCCCACAGCAAGCGCCCGCCTCTCCCGAACCACGCGTCCCCTTGCGGGGCGGGGCGCAAAACATTCGCAGGAGCAAGCGTGCGTGGGGGGTCGCCGCCGCCGCCCTACCCCCCCCCACTCACCCCATAATATCGTGCTCCCTCTGCGAGGCGCTCCTTGGCTCGCCGCCTTCGTCCCCCTCCCCCTCCTCCTCCTCCTCCCGCCGCCACTGGTTCCGCGGCCCGCGAGGGCGGCCTCCTCACGCAGCACAGCCGCCAGCCGGCGAGGCAGGCGATGGGCCCGCGAGGGCGCCGCGCGGGGAGATGGAGCCGCCGGGCGTTCACAGCCTCCCGCGACCCGCCGCCGCCGCCGCACTCCCCCCACCCGCGGCCTGTGTTGCCGTCACCGCGGCCCGCGCTCGCCCTCAGAGCCGTTGCCACGGGTTACGGCGCGATCGTTGTGAGGGAGGCGAGGGGGCCGCGCGCGGCGGGGAGGGGGCGGCCATGCGAGGCGACGCGGGGGGGTCGCCCCGACCCGGCGCCATCCTGGCGGCATGGTGGAAGCTGTGGTCCAGGTTGGCCTCGGGAGGACGGGAGGAGCGCCTTGACCATCAGCACCACCACCACCACTACCCAAAGTAGACCTCCCCACAACTCCCTGCTAACCTGGCTGAGGCATGCTGGGAGTGGTAGTTTATTTAACTCATCTGGAGCTTGATTTTAGATGATGATGATCGATGATGGTGGTGGATTTCCCATGGGCAGCTGCTTGGCCACAGGGCTAGATGGGCCTTATCCTGCATGGCTCTTATATTTCACTCTTCCTCCTCCTCATTATCAAATTGCATTCCTATCATAGAAACAGAGCGAGTCAGAAGGGGTCTCCCAGGCCATCTAGTCTGACCCCCAGCTCCAGCGGGCTCCACTCATGGCATGCCTACCATATCCTGCCCCTTTTCCTCTTGCACAATATCCAAGGTGGCTCACATAGTCCTCCTCAAACTCCATTTTTTTCCCTCACAACAACACTATCAGGTAGGTTAAGTTGAGAGATTGTGATTAGCCTAAAGTCAGAGTGAGTTTTGCTGCTTAGGAAGAGTTTTAGTTGACTCTCTTTGGTCTAAGCCAAGCCTGTCCATTCTGCTATGCGCAACTACAATTGCCATCAATCTGACAGCCATTCACAGCATCACTGGGGAAAAATAAGCATATCTGGCCACATCATTTTTAAATTTGAATTTGGAAAACAGATGACTGATGCAGGAATATATCATCTGAAGGAACAGAATTTACTCACTTGCATGACATTATTCATATAAAATTCCTGCTTTTGACTGGGATAGTTTTTCCTGGAGATACAGTTTGTACAGACACAGCGCTAAGTACCAAAAAGAGGCCTAGTGCAGTACCACTTGGCTAAATAAATAAATGCAGAAAGTAATATATGCAAATTTCACATACTCAGAAGTCTCTGTGTGCATAATTTCTTTAAAGGATCCTGACTCCCAGGGAAACATCTATTTGTAAAAAGGGGGGAGGTATGGACATAGGAGAGGAGGACATTGGATTTTAGGGAAAGAACCCAGGCAGAGAGACATTTAGGTTCTTGCTATTTGCTGTGTGTTTAGAAGTTGTCCTGCTAGAAGATGAACCTCTGCCCTTCACAGTGTGAAACAGATTTTCTTCTAGTATTGTCCAGTATTTGATCCATCTTGCCTTCAATCCTCATCAATTTTCCAGTTTAAAGAAAAGCATCCACACAACATGATGTTGTCACCACCACTGTGAGGATGGTGTTCTAAGAGAAATGTGCACTGCTGACTTTCCCTCACACACAGCAAAAGTTCAGTTTTGGCCTTCTCTAGGCAAAATCATGGTTGAACCATATTCTTTCCATTTTGTAATGATGGATTTAACCATGCAACTTCATAGGTAGATAGAAAGATACAAACACATGCCAAGCCCTGATTGGTGCTGCTGCAAAATTTTATTCTGGAGTTGTTTTGATAGCTGCTGCTTTTTTATGATGTTGTTAGCTTAGCTTTCCAACAAATGGTGCAGCCCTTCCAGAAACTGAAGAATTTGATCTCAGACCATGTGGCACACAGGTGGACTCCACTCAACTACTTACTTTATAGTATATGACTTCCGGGGATACTAAGTTTTGCCAGAGCTTAGTCACAGCATAACAAGAGGGGCAAACAATTATGCAATCAATGAATCCCCACTGCTGCAATGTGAACTCAGCTTCTTCCTGCTTTTGTATTCAGTGACAAATACAAGCTAATCAAATTCTAACTTTTAAAAGCATAATTTTAAAAGACTTGTAAATTGTTCGAGAAATGAGGGGAGGGTTGGTTTGTAATGTCACATACTCTAGTCAATCTGGTTCATATATATGTCAGAGGTCAGATCCAGACTTAAGTCATACTCAGAGTAGAGCCACTGAAATCAATGGGAATTTAAAAATTATGACTTCCAGTTCCATTGATTTCAAGGGATTAACACTTAAATCTGATTAAATTTAGCTCTAATCTATTCTGTAATTGAGAAAAGCCTTATTTGATAGCAACCTGTGGTATTTGCCACGTTCTCTATTTTAATCCTGTTTTTAGACAGTTCCAAAACAGTTTGCATTAATGGAAAACAGAAAGAGATCTGTCTTCAGGCTTACAAACTGAAATGACAAGGAAAAGAGAGTGATGGGAAAAAGAAGAAGCAAAACCATTTTTCCAGGTCAGAAAAGAAGGTGAGCTACACGCAGGCATTTAAATGCACGTCCAGCCTGGCGATCTTGCTTGAATTAAACTCTTGTCCCCTAGGCTAATGAATGGGGCCATAACATTCTTTCCTCCTCCTTGTGCAGTGCCAGGGCAACTTTCTTGGAGCACAGTGATATTTCTGGAAAGGAAGGGGAAGAAAATTTCCTGCAGCTGCTACTTCTGTGGGCAATGGGTGGACCAAACCGGTCCGCCCACCCAGCCTGTTCCCTTAATCCTGGGAAGCAGGGGGGTGCACATTCCTAGTGGCCATCGGTCCCTTGCCTGATGCTGTTTTAAGGCAAAACTGGTGTTATTTTTCATAGGAAACAATGTTAGAAACATAGAAAAAGAGTGAGTCAGAAGGGGCCTCCCGGGCCAACTGGTCTGACCCCCTGGCTCTAGCCAACACATGCGTACCATGTTAATGAACATCAAGCTTTTTGAACTGAATGTCTATCCCTAAGAGAGTTGGTCTCAATCTGTATGAACACCTCTGACTTGCACTAATTCAGTTGTCAGTTCCAAACTGAAAAGCAGAAAGCTCCCATTTGGAAGGATACGGCAAGATAAACTAACACCTGAACACGAAGCTACTAACCAATCAAAAAATATGTATTTAGTTGAGTGCCATATATAAACATTTGGCTCTAAATCTACATGTCACCAAATCATCAAGCAAGACATGAGGTAACTTGCAATTGATGAAATAAGATAATTTGCCTTCATGAGACACAGTATTCCCAGTTAAAAAGCTCAAATTTGAAATGTTAACTAGATGGAAGCAAGAGGTTGGGAAGTGGAACAGAAATTTCAGGAATAACACAACATGTGTCAGCTACTGAAAACGAAACTGTCTCCAGTTCAGGGACAGATACTGTAGATCAGGGTTGGTCTGAGGAAGGGTGTAAATTCATTAACCCAGAGAGCTGGCATCAAGTTAAATGAGCCGGCCAATTGAGTAATGTCTGGCATTCCTGCCATCTAGCTCACAAGCAGTATGAACCTCCCTGAGGGTGGAGTGAAGCCATTTGGGAAAGGAAGAGAGGCGGAAGAGCTGCTTCCACATACCAGTTAGAATGTTACTTGGATGTTACTTGAGAACCTTCTTATAAAGTGCCCTGTGTATCACAAAAACCTTGTTGAGCCTAAATAAAGGATTGTACTTCAAAAGCCTTTGGTTTTGATCTGCTGGAAGGGAAATGGGAGTGAGACATGTTCATGGCATTGTGCTTGACTTATAACTCCTATTACCATTGGCTGTGTAGGCTAGGGCTGATGGAAGTCGAATGCCAAAACGTTGCCTACCCTTGCATATTATGGGTAGAGGTGGAGTGATAGATCCTATATTCCCAGTGTTACACATGGTTTTCCAACATCTTCTAAGCTAGGGACTTTTAAGAAATGTGCTTTGCAAAGAGGTCTGTTTAGTGAATATTAACATGATCACTGCCGGGATAGTAAAGTGGGTGTAATTGTTTTAAGAACAGTGGGGCATAACCAGCCAAAAGCATTTTAAGTTCTTTGGCTTATTTGTATGCTTTTAAGGCTTCCATAGTTCTTTTTAAGCTGGATCAAACCACATATTTTCTCCACTAATCCTCATTATCATTTCAATCCTCCAAATTAATCGAATTAACCGTCATTTTAAATAGAACCAACAATGCTTCAGTTTTTTCAAATGGCATCTTCAAGCATCATGCTCCCGAACATGACAGAGAATCCATAGCCCAAACGTGGCTGACTGACCGGAAAAAAGAATTACACCGGATTGTAAAAAGGCCCTGAGCGCCGCCGTTCGCAAGCGGCAGCCGCGTCTCTCCGAGAGAGGCCTTAATTCTATTTCCGTACCCGAAGCATGGCGGCGGCTGAAGTCTTTCCTGCTCTAAACCAGGGAATCCCTGCTGCCTCCTCCCCTTGGATCAAGATCTGGAGGACACCAGGGAGATGCGGGGGCGGCGAGAGGCGGGCGGCAGCGTCCCCGTCGCCGTCCCCGTCCGACGGCGCGGAACGAGCGCAGAGGGGCGGGGGCGGCGGATCGTGCGCCGCGAGGGCGCAGGGACGAAGGGGTGGAGAGCGGCGCCGTAATAAATGATGACACGAGGGCCGGGATGCGTCTATTTTGCTGCATGACTCCGCGACGTCAGTGGCAGCAGCTGGGGAGCGCCCCGGCGCGTCGAGAGCAGCTCCCGTCCCGCCGCGCCGGACGCGGCAGAAATTAGCGGGCAACTCACGGACGCGGCGGCGGCGGCGGCGTGCGCTCGGCTGCGCAGGAGCCGGGAAGCGCGCCTTCTGCAGTGGGCCGTGAGTCGAGTCAGGGCGGGAGCGCACCGGGACCCTGCCGGAGCGCGCAAGCGGGTCTGCAGCCTGCCTCGCCGGAGCGCCAGGCGAAGGCAGCGAAGCCGCGGCGCGGTCAAGTCTCCGGCCCGCCGCGCCGCTCGGGGCGCCGAGAAGGAACCGCGCGCCTCCAGCACCCGGAGCATGAACTAGCCGGCCTGCTCGTCCGCCAGCCCCTCCTCGAGGAGCGCGCGCCACCATGGAGAAGGCAGGCTCGCTGCACGCCTCGGTGCCCACGCCGCCGCCGCGTCTCTATCTGCCGCGCAATTTCAGCTGCAGCGCCTGCCTCTACGGCACCTTGGCGGACCAGTGCAAGGGCGGCTGCAGCCCGGAGCCCGAGGCGGTGGAAGGGCCCGCGACGCAGCTGCCCCCGGCGACTTCGTCGCCCCCTGCATCGCCGCCCCTAACTCTGGAAGCCACTCCCAAGAAGCCGCTCCCGCTGCCCGTTTCGCGCTCCCCGTCGCCGCCTCCGACATCCCCGCCGCCGTCGAGCCGCGGAAGGGAGCCCACGCTGCCGTCGGTGCCGCCCAGCCCCACGCTGCGCCGGCGGGCCAAGTCGCTGCCGACGCCCGGCGAGCGGGGCTTGAGGCCGGCCTTGCAGCAGAGCCCGTCCCGCCGCAAGACCGTGCGCTTCGCCGACTCGCTGGGCCTGGAGCTCACCGCCGTGCGCCACTTCTGCCAGGCGGACGTGCCGCGGGTGCCGCTGGCGGCCTCCCCGCTCTCCCGCGGCGGCGCTGACCTGCTCAAGACGCGGAAGCCGCCGGCCCTGGGCGAGCTGGAGCCGGTGCTCTTCGGGCCGCCGGCCCCCGTGCTGGAGCCGCTCTTCCCGCCGCAGCCCGGCGCCAGCGCCGGCTTCGGCGAGCGCGTGCGGCAGCACAAGGTGAGGCTGGAGTGGGTGCGCGCCGAGGCGGCCGGCCTGCGCGGCGCCGTGCGCGTCCTCAACCTGGCCTACGAGAAGAGCGTCTCGGTGCGCTACACGCTCAACCGCTGGGCCAGCTGCAACGAGGTGCCGGCCACCTACCTGCCGCCGCCGGCCGCCGGCCACGCCGCCGACGGCCTCACCGACCGCTTCGCCTTCCACCTGCCCGTGGGCGCGGGCACCACGCTGCTGGAGTTCGCCCTGCGCTACCGCGTCGCCGACGCCGAGTACTGGGACAACAACGACGGCCACAACTACAAGTTGCGCGGCAGGCGGCGGCCTCCGGCGGCCTCCGGCCACGAGCCCGACGGCGGAGGCGCCTGGATCCACTTCATCTGACCGCGGGGACGCGGCGGCGGCGGCACATGGCCCCGCCCGGCCCGGCCCGGCCTCCTCGCCGGCAGAGCCTTCGCAGCCCCTGCGTGGGATCCCCGTTTGCAGAGAGTAAGCGCCTTGCGGCTTTATGGCGACAGAAGAGCTTCCTCGAGGCCAAACGGATGGTGATGGGCCGTGAGAACCGGGAAGAAGATCACCCCCCCCCCGGAAGGGTTCTGAGAGGGTCGGGGGTGGCCTGCCTGCTGTGCCCATTCCTGGAATTAATTATTGTGGCCTGAAGCTGATGAAGAATTCGCAGCCAGTCCAAGCATAAGCTTCCATGGAACTGCATAGGATGTGCATTGGTTTCCCTCCCCATTTGGCACACCTTCTATGAAGCAGTGATTTTTGCAAATTGCATTCAGTTCATACCCAGTCTTTTCTTCCCCCTCACAGGGAACCCAAAGCGGCTTACAAGGTCATCCTCCTTTCCATTATGCCACTACAACGGTCCGTAGGTACAGTCCATATGGAGACTGTAACTCACAAACCTGAAGTCTTAGTCTAGACCACCAGGAGCATCTCCAGCCACTTTTCACCTGACCAGTATGTAACCTGAAGCAAGTTCCCGTCCCTTCCCTTCCCTTGGTAAATAAGCCTGCAAGTCAAAATATACTACTTAACAGGAAGCAATTTCTTGTCTGGGTTGTACCATTTGAATCTGCAGGAGAAGAATGCTTCTCTCTATGTTTCAAAAACAAGGAAATCTGTTCCCAGTGCAATGAAAATTGATGCATCAGGGAGAGGGCTGGGGGGGGGATTCAGTTTTTCTTTAAATGTCACGCATGAAGCCACCCACCCAACAGTGAGATGGTGGAGCCAGGAGCTAGGCATGGGTTAATCTGCGCAGTGAGCCTATGGAGACAGGAGCCTGTCCATGTTTTGAGAGGAGAAAGTCCCACGGTTCAGCTAGGATCCCTGGTCATTTTCTGTCACATCTAAACCAGGGGCAACAAGTTCTGAGTTTTTACCCTAGTAGATTGTGCTCAGTCCTGATTGGCTAGAAACTAGTGACATCACTGACGGACATTCTCCTCCTCCTAAATTTCACCTTTTATAATAGTGTATTTTTTTAAAAAAAGAAAAGGAGGAATAAACACACAGGTCATGCCAGATAGCCTGTCTGAAGCATGAGGAAAGATCAGGGTTTGCTAGGCTGCAGCTGTGGGGCAGAAAAGCCTGCGGCATAACCTGATTTTCATGCTACCCGTGTTTCCTATTAGATGTGTTTAAGGTTGGCTGCAGGAGGGCTTCAGACTGACCTATGTGAGAACAAATGGCATTAGGACCTGGTGTCTCCAAGGGTATTATCTGGAATTGCCCGTTTTCATGGCTGCTCCCAGTTCCACTGAGGGTTCTGTAAGAGTGTGCCGGAGAGGTTTCTTTCGAAACTCGGGTAAAATCAACATACTCTGTTCTGTCCTGCTCTTCTTCCTTGTGCTGACCAGGCCACAAGGCTTGGTTGTCTGTTCTCAGGGGTACCTTTTCCTTTGCAATTCTTTGCTATCTCAGAATTGTGAGGTGGCAGGCCTCTTGGAGAAACCATACAAGGCTGGAAGTAATGTCGTAATAACATTCACAGGAGTTGCCTCCTTTCCCCTTTTTCCCTCAGTTATGAAGCAGCTGTGTGTCATATACAAATGACAACATGGTTGGCCAGGCTGTAACAGGGGAAACGGTGCGTAATTCAACATCTGCTTGCTAATTATTTCTGATGGGAGGTTTGGAGCAGGGCTGGAAAACTAGGTTGCCGCAAATCGGAGAGGACTTGATGGCACATAAGTGAAGGCACAGGCGTTGATCGTTCCTAGGGGCCAGAATCGAATTTTGCGTCACCAATACCGCAACGGGCAGACTTGGAGACTTCTAAGTCGGTAATGCCAGCAGCTGCCCCAGGTTACCTTATGCTCAGGTTGGCAGAACAACAGTTCTTGTGAGAAAGGAAAGGACACCAGAACGAGCATCCAGACAGAGCAAGCCTGCTTTCTGATTGTACTTGCTGCCTGATCCTATGCATGCTTGATCAGAAGTAAATGCTCTTCCTGGTAGGATGGGTCTCCTTCCCCAGAGGGTGCACTGGATTGCAAACTTGGGTCAAGGATCTGACAACATGATCTAACAGCTTGCCCAATGGATTCCAAATTATGGGCTTAAGAATGTAAGATGAAGGGCCTACCTAGATCAAGCATCCCGTTTCCACTGCCCGCTTCCTGCTCACGATGCCCGGCAACTCTGTACGGAGGCCTGCTGGAGGTAATGCAGTTGCTCTTGATAGCTTTGTTCTCTGTGACATTGTCTAAGCCCTTCTTAAAGCCGTCCAGGTTGGCAGCCACCTTGTAGCAATTTCCATAGCCTAATTGTGTGTTTTAGGTGCTTCTTGTCAACAAGAATTTGATACTGGCTCCTAAGGAACTGAGTATTTCCCAAACCCTCACAGAATTGGCTCATGACAATTCTGATAGCATTCCCTGCAATAATTTTTCTGGCCATGCTTTCTGGATCTGTATATCGAACACCTGCTGCTTAGATGGCACTTTATGTGTTTATTAATTTGTCTTTCATTCTGTCAGAACTTGCACTTTTGATGGCTGGCAGGCATTCCTGTACATCTGTCTTGAAGTTATTTTGCTGCAGATTTCTGTCATTGGTGTCGATGTTACAGTGTATGAATCAACATTTAATTATTGTGAAAGGCATACTGCATAGCCAAGTTCAGTTTGGTAGGAGTAAATTATATGGATAGTTGAAAAAATGTCTGGGTATTGGGGGTAAAAAGGGGGACTGGGGAGAACTGAACCAGAATTTTCTTGAGAAAAGGCGCCAGTTAATTTTACTGTCTCCCATCCTCCTCTGCAAATTAGAAAAAATAATCTTTTTATTTCTCTAATTTGAGCTGTTTGTATCAAATGTTCAAACCTTTTCTGTGTTTAGCATCTTTTAAAGTAGAAACTCAGTACAGAGGTAGTACAGAGGTTTATTTCAGCAAAACCCTCTCTTATCAGGGATGAGACCAATTATACATCCGTTGGCAAATGAGATTGCCCATTTCACAGGGTGAATCACCTGCTTACTGGGGTAAAAGAGGCCTTACCTAACTCTCGGTTCAAGTACAGTTCCAAATGGTGGAGCTTTGTTCAAACCCACTGAGCTGCTTGCAGTGGGTTCCTATCTCATTGGATGCACTCCTTCTTTCAAGCAAAACACAGAACTCTTCCTCAAAGGATGGGCACAAAATAAACAAACAGCCTGTGCAGGGCAAGAGCGCACCATCCACTGGGAGTTCTCATTTTGCATCATGCGGATATATGCAAGCGATTTCTGTGGAGCGGGTACAGGAGAACTCTCCAGTGAATTGTGCCTTATCTGTATTAAATAAACCCTGTGTGTGTCCCCTCATTTCTACTTAATGCAAGATAATAAAACAAAGTTTTGATGCACCTTTAAAACGTGAAATTCAGATTTTTGCAAACCAGCAGCTTGCTTTATTGCCACAGATTTTTTCAGCAATCTTCCAGCTATTGGGGGGTAGGGGTGTTTGGCTTTCAACAAATTTGGCACAACATTGACCAAGAACAGCCAGGGCGGTGGCCCATGAGGCGCTAAACAATTCCTCCTCTTCCTGCAGTTTGCCTGGGTGGCATTTGCCAGGTTACAGGCATGGCTGGTGGACCACTTTTGGCAGGCCTGCCCAAGGCTGTGATTGTAATCAGGTTTTTAATGTTTGCAAACCCCTAATCTGTTGTTTTTCAAACCACATTTGAAGTGCAGCATGTTCCAACACATGAGGATCAACACAGGCCTGTACTTTATTTAGAAAAGGAAGATGTTTATTTTAAAATTATATATATATATATATGCAGTCAAGAGAGGGATATAAAATATTTTTCCCTTGAGCAGGGCCACATGGTCTGTATGGCTACTCTGCTTTACCACTTTTGTCAGGAAGCCTCAATGCATGCTAGCAGATTGGAGAGACCATAAATAATTGTGTATTGCACTAGTCTGTTAATAACAAGGATGTATGTATGATTTATGCTGCAGCATCAAATTCCTTGTTGCGTTCATCCTTGCACTGGAGTTGCGACCTTTTTGTTTTGTGTCTCTGCCTTTAATGGCAGCTTAGTGAGCTGAGGTCAAGCCAATGGAGCTGCATCTGCATCTGATGCCACCTCCTGGCTGCGAGGAGGGGCCCTCTGGTGCAAGGCTTCGAGAGGCTCCCATCCGCGGACACGTTCATCTCCACCTCTTCACTGCCGGGGCTACAGCCTGTTCACTGACATCGTGCTCTGGCCCAAATCTGGATCACTGTACAGAGGGAGGAGATTGCCTGCATTGTTGCCCATTCTTTTTGCTCACCTGTGGATAGACAGCAACAGCCAGGAGAATGACTGGTGCCCCCTGCCCCGTGAGGCACGGATCCCCAGTGACGCCCACCCAGCCACGAGTCCCGAGTGCCCTGATTTTTGCCGCTTAATTGCTGCAGACCTGCTGCAGCTGAAGACACAGAACCCAAACTGGGGAAAGCAGCATGATTCATCCGAGTGTCACTGTTGCTGAAGTGCTCGCACTGGCATCGCCCGTAAAATGATAAGTTTTTCGAACATCAGGTGAGCCTGTGCATAAATGTAGATCGAGGAAGACTGAAAATATACATTCTTTTGGGAGTTACAGCTTCTGCGCCATCAAGAGCCTGCACATTAATCATGCTTAGAAGAGGTGGTGGCCAGCTCATTCCTGCAGGATCTTCCAATCCCTTAGCTTGCTCAGGCTGCTTATTTTGGATCAGATCTCTTGAGTTTTGGGAACTGAACTGACAGAACTACTTGTGCGCATGCCGTCATCTGTGCACAAGTTTCAACATCCCCGTGCTCAGAATTGCAGGTCCCAGATGCGTAAATTGTGACCAGTAGTTCCTTAAGAAAAAGCATTGACATTAACCAGTATTAATGACTAGCCACGGTCTGTACCATTTGTGTTACATTTTAGGGAAGCTGCTCTAGGCCTGGGCTATTCTTTGATGCCCTGGTGTCTTTTGCAGGCAAGCTGGCGGAAGAGCAGGGTGACAGAATGCAGG